TTTCGGCTGTTCGCAGCAGTTTCAATTTCAAGAGTAGCGACGTTGGCAGCGGCAGCGGCGTCGCCGTCAGCGTTGGTGTTGGATTTTGGTTTTTCGGCTTTGGCCGCGTAATGAGTGCAAATGTGAATGAACTTGCCGCAGACGCACACGCAGCCAGCTCTACTCACTCACTTGCTCGCTCGCTCGCTCACTCACTCACTCACTGACTCGGTCAGGCGCTCTCATCTTTCTCTCTGTCGTTGTCATTTCGCCAAAGCCAACGGCGCGCCGTACCGAAAGCCCCCAACTAAAACTGTTGTTTATAACTTTCACGCAAAGTCGAAAACGATCGCTGACGAACTTACTTCATAAGTTCTAAACTGAAAACGAACTCCAATTACGGTACAGATTCAAAGCTTTTCTTTAATATTAACACACACAAGCACACACACACACACACACACACACACACACACACACACACACACACGCACTTACGCCTAGCATATTATCTAAATTAAAAATTCTGTTATGTTTAGTGTTTGCTTTTGCTATTGTGATTTCTTTGTGACACACTTTCGTAATTATGTACATATGTATGTTTGTGTATTACGTACTAGCTTGTAAACATATACACTCTGCTTCTTATAGCATATAAATTTCTATATTGGTTTAGTTCTTATCGGACACCACCAAAATCTGTTTTATTTATCGGACTACAGGAGGTTTGACACAAGCAACAAAAGCAAGAAAGAAAGCGGCTATCGGAGAATAAGAGCAAAAGAGAGCGAAGCTGATAACACAATTAAATAAGCTTCTTATATATACATATATATGTAGCTATATATACATACATAAATAGTCGTGTGTATGTATGTATGTATGCACACTTACATGCGCTGCCGTATCGAAGAGTCGACGCTTTGAAGAAATTTGGGTCTTGCTCTAGTTTTCACAATCAAAGTTCAATGATCGATTGCAAAACCGAAAAACCAAAAAACCGAAAAAAGCTCATGCGTGAGTGGGGAGAAATGAAGAGGCAGTGAAAAAGAGAGGGGAGAGAGCGAGAGCACGCAACAGGGTAATGATAATACATAGGTGCTCTCTTGCGTCGTGCAGAACTTGCTCGTCATATGTGGAAACATCTACACGCAGACTTACTCACACACACATATGTACATCTGTATGTGTGTATGAGCGGAATGAAGAGGGGGACGGGCGACATCGCTTTCTGCTTTCTTTTTATCGTGCAACTTTTGCGCTTCACTGTGCTTGTTGTTGCTGTTGTTGTTGCCTTTGTTATTAATGGGTAAATGCAAGAAATTCGTCATATTTGTGTACATACACACATATACATACATACCATATGTATTATTACTTATTAGCAAATATAATTTTACTTCATATTAATACACGCCGAAATGTGAATGTTATTTTTGCTTAATAATTATTGCGCCTTATTTTATAATACTTGTATATAGACGCACACATACATATGTAATACATATATGTGTATCTCTCAGTCGACAAATTGTTTATTTCGATAAGAAATTTACCGAAAACAAATATTAGAATAATCAAAACGATACACACATGCACATGCATGTGTGTAGCACAATAATCTTTCGGTCGGACTTTCGCGTCAATTCTCCTGCCCCCCTCGCACACACATACACACACGCATACTATCAGACGAATGGAAAGTCAATGCACGCAGCGACAGCGACGCAAAGCTCAGCAGCAAGAGCAATAATAATAGCTATAGCTGTACCAACAACAACAAGGGCAACAACAGCAACAATAACGACAACAACAACAACAACAACAACGGACAGACAGACAACCTCAAAAGTTTGCTTTCTTTTTATACCCTGTACTCTTCATAGCTTTGCATGCAATTTATATTAGAATTTCACATAACTTGTTTTGCTACCTCTGGGAAATCAAAATCAAAAATCTTTATGAACTGCTGTTAATTTGTCAACTAACTAAAGTTAAGTGTTAAATAAATGTTAAACTATGCTAAATATTATGAAATATATAATAAAATATAAATATATATAAGATATAATAAATATTTTCATTTATGTAGCTATAAACATAAATATACTTATTATATAATATTTAGCATTCCATTTAAATCATATTAATTTCAATTTGAATACTCAAACATAGAAATGAACTTATGGTTCAATGGAGATACAGAGTTAGTATAGCTAATGATTTAATGTTATTTATAAGAAAGGAATTGCGTTTTATTTGCATTCTTTGCACTCGACATAAGTTTAAAATACCCATTAAAAATCAATGTTTATAAGAATTTCAATTATATACATATGATATATATTGATGCATATAGACACCCTATGCATCAATATATATCATATGTACATATATGTGCATACATTTATATAATTGAAATTCTTATATCTATTTAACAATAAACAAACAAATGTTAACAATAAATGTTTAAAATTTCTAAGCAGATACAAACAGCAACAAATGATTTGATCATAGTAAAAACCAATTAATTTAGTGACATTTCTTTTTTTTTTTTTTTCTTTTCATTTTCTACAGAAAATGAATAGATCTATGTATATATGTATACGTATATTTATCTATCTAGTGTTAATACTGATTATAACTGAGATTGATCAAATCAAGTTTTTCTTTAACAGAGAACGGAGCAATCTCTTGCAATCAGTGTTAAAGTAATGTAAGAATTGAATAATCTCTTACTAATTATCAAAGAATAAATATATGCAAATTTTAAGTAACTCAGGATTTCTACCACGTATGTACATATGTATTTAGTACACATTTAATGCATATTTTCTTTCTAAACTTTCGTTCTAACCCACTCCAGTTTACATTTTACGCCCATTAAAAAAAATCACACAATACAAATAGAATTCTATGTCAATGATCAATAGAATGAAAAAAAACTAAATTGTTAATAAATACATTTAACTTTCGTTCTGCAGCTCAATTTTGGATTTTCGCCCGGCGCTCCAACAGCTCCCCATTAAAATATCGCTGAAAATTATCTCCTATTTGGCTTTCGTTCTTAATGAGCAATTACGTAATGCAAAAAAAAAAAAAAAAAAAAAAGAGGCAAAAATAAATCACCTATATACCCATATACACACTTTTCATACACCAGTGTGTGTGTGTGTGTGTGTGTGTGTGTTAAGTAAATCAGGCCAAATACTAAGCGGTGAAAATTGTACACAAAGCATACATAGTGATTAGCGCAACGAGAGACAGTGAGTGCCAAACAAGTTTTCAGAATTAGGTAAACAGCATTATCATAGACACATTTTAAGTCCATATTACCGTTATACTCACAGTGGCACACAGTTGAGAACGAGAACCGTAAGAGCAGCGGCGATCAATGGGCGGCGCTGTCATTCGGTCACTCCGTCGTTCCGTCACTCAATCAGATGACAACGCAGCGCAACTCAACATACCACAACGCAACACAACGTTAACGTTGCGACCCAGAGAGCGCAAACATCTTCGTCTTATGTAATCAATTACTATAAGAATGATGGTAAAGAAAGAAATGCTACAACAGCACGCTCACTCGACCAGCGCACGGGCTCGTTCTTACTTTCTCCGGCAAAGTAGGCCGTCCGAGCACGATTAACAAACACAGACATCATCATGTAATTACGAAACTTTCACGCAAGACACACGAACACACATGAACACGCTCATAACAGCACCAACAACAACTGCATCCATGTATGTTGTGTGTGTGTGAGCTGCGCGACTCTCTTAACGTTTACGTTCTGTCGCTGCAACTTTTTTGGGCTTGAAGTTTTTCGTCTTTCAATTCCAGTTTAGAATTGGGTCAAATAACGGATTTGTGTATTTGCCTTCCGTGGCAGCGGCCCCAACGGCGAACTCACTAAATCAGACACACAAACACATAAACATACACGCACATTCGCTCACTAAAGAAACTTCTGCTGCGGCAAGATCAGCTAAAGAACGTAACAAAGCTCAAACGCGTCATTACTCACCTCACCTCACCGCTCCTCACCATACTTCGCCTTGGCTCGGCTCGTCTTCGCGCGCCGCTTAAAACACAAACCGAATTTCAAATTCAGAGCACCAGAAACCGGTTGGCTGCAGTCAATGGCGTTTGAATTGCTCTCGCTTTACCTAGTGCCCGGCTTTAGCATTGGCTTTGACTGTGGCTTTGGCCCTGGCTTTCATGCAGGTTGCGACTCAAACATGCTGCGTCTCTACTTTGAGCTTTCGTTTGAGCTGTTTGCGTGTATGCGCGCGAGCCGAAAACAAACGGTCTTTGCATGTGTGTATGTGTGCATGTGTGCATGTGTGTGCAGAGCTATTTACGTATGTATGGCTTAGTTTCGACGGCTGTTCTACATTTGAGCTGGTGAAAACAATAATGTGAGAGGTTGCAAGAGAGACAGACACACACACACACCGGTTTAGAACGTTCACTCACGCCCAATGCTCATTAAAGCAGCGCTATAAAGATCTTCAGTTTTGATTTTATTGCTCAAGAAGAGAAAGTGTTACGCCAATTGTTTAATTAATTTTTCTTCTTGTAGAAGCTACTCGTAGCCATAAGTACAGACACAGCACACACACGGACACGCACACACACATTTCTACACACACATTTGTGTATGTATAGCATGCGCTGCGGTGTCAATAACCACAGCAAGACCGAGGCCAGAGTAAAAGTTTTGCACAATGCGCTTCATTTATTGTTTTGACATCTTATGTACATTTCTTATGCTTCTTCTCTTCGCGGATCGTGAGTTGCTTTCAGTTCAACTATGGGCTCTGGGCTCTAGATTGTGCACTTTAGCATTAGCTTTTTGCCTTGCTGCGGCTTCATTCTTAGCGCAGACATTTACAATTGTGTCGTCCATTGCCAATATGTCAACTGAACGTTGAGCAAGCCAAATGAATTATGCATTTGGGCAAGTAAAACTTTCCAAATTTCTATCGTTGTTGCTGCCGCAGCCGCTGCCGCCGCCACTGATGTCTTTGCTACTTGACTAATTGTTGTTGCTTCTACAGTAACTATTGTCGCTTTTGCTATTGTCATTATGTACAGCTACTTCTTCTACTACCGTTTTGTTGCCAAATAGAAATTATTCGCACTTGACGTTATTTTCTAAATTAAATTAATTCGCACATACGCAATAATAATATACAAACACACATACAGATATACACATGTATGTATGCATTTGTGTTTGTGTAAGATCGGAACAGCAATTGTCTTCCCAACAAAGAGTCAATTTGCCGATCTCTCTTACAGCCATGCCATGCATACACACATACATATGCACATATACAGAGAACAAAGTCGTTGCCCAACACCACAGACCGCGACATCCCGATGGCGGCTATTACGAAATAAACGGAGAATAAGAATATAATGCGCAGCAAGGCAATGAACATGAATGCACGCGCAGAGACAGGGGGCGAGAGAGAGAGAGAGAGCAGCACAGGAACCCACACACCCAGGCACATGTGCAAATAAACATGCACACACAAATGTATGTAGGTACATACATTAATTTCTGCATGTATAAACTGTTTGTATATGTATGTGTTTGTATAATTTAAGTGTTTATACACATGTACATATGCATGTATTTACCAACACTAGCACAACAAAGCAGAACAACGTATTATCCCTTTTATAGAAGAAAATGCCAGCGGCGCAGCCAGCGTTCTTTCAACAAAAATTCTTGAGAAATGCTAAATTTAGAGCGCCAACAACAACAGATGCCGGGCAAGGGAGACCCCAATCCACAATCCCCAATCCTCAATCCCCAATGACCAGTTGCAGCCGCATTTGCAGTCACAGCCCGCATCAAACAGTAGGTTGATTGGTCATTCAATAAACCAGAACTGTTCTTTCTCACTCTCACTCACTCTCTTCTCTTTTGCTGCTTCTCTCGCTTTCTCTCACTCAATCGTGCACTCTTCGTTCAGCAAAAACAATTTGCGCAGTTGCCCAGCCTGAGCAATGCCAATATCAACAAAAACAACAACAACAACGAGTGTAACCATCCAAATCTGAAAAGACCAAAAGTTGAACTTTCCATCCAATAAGAGTGAGCTTTAATGCGTCAGCGACGCTGACCTAAACTATCGAATTATTGATACTTACATACATACATACATATGTATATATGTGTAAATGGGTATGTGTGTGGCTGTGTAAAAAATTCATATGTACATACATACATACATATCTATGTACCCATGTACATTTTCATGTATGTATGTATGTTCATGTAATAAATGTAACAGAACTATGTGCATTCATATGTAAATGTATACGTATGTGCATACTTATTACGTACTTTCTTTATTTGTTGTTTTAATGAATTAACAGATGTGGGTGTATAAGTATATGTATTTATATCTGCATGGCATGCAAGTAGTGAACTTTGAACTGTAGATTTATTGCGATGGCGTGAATATGTTGGTATTTTTCTTTCAAGATTGCGAGCTTCTAGATACCCTGTCATATATTATAATATTTTATAATTCGATTCGAACAATTCAACTAATATATACACATATGGTATATATGTATATAAAATACAGCAGATACATGTGTATGTATATAGGACACACATACATACATAATACGACTATATGTATGTATATTGTATTTATTTTAAAATCTGAATATCCAATAACGCAAATATATTTCTTTTGAAATGCGAATTTTGTAGAATATAGAACGCATACATCGAAAAAAGAAGCTTTCGAAATCTGTGTGTACTTCTTAATTGTATTAAATGAATATTAACAGTTATGTGACTTTCTAAATTCTCCTATTGTTATATGTCTCCCTCTCACTCTCACTCTTCTTACTCACACAATATTTCGCAATAGCCAATACACGCAAAAACAAAGCACAGGTTAAGTATTTGCAAAATATTTGATTTGGCTTTTGGTTAGGTTGTTAACTGCTCCTAAATATTAGTATAGTTAATAATAATAAATATGATTAAATAATTTTACATGCACATACATACATACATACATAAATAATGAACATAGAAACCGGTGCAGGGTATTTGTCTGTGCATGCATACTACATACATATGCAACTGTGATACATAGAACACATACGTTTGAGACTTAAGCTCTGCCACCAGCTGAGCATTTTTGTGCAAGCCTCTACATAGATACATATGTACATATGTATGTATGTACATGCATAAATATAAATATAGGGACAAGCCTATATTGGTACTACATTTAAGCGTTATTCTTTCGCATTTTCTTGGTCTTGTTGCTTTTGTTTGTGCTGCAACTAAAATGATCTTACTGGAAATAAATACGCATGCACACATGAGCCTATTCGCTCTGCTCTGAATATCTACATACATACACATATACTGCGTACATGTGTGTGCATATGCGGAGATGTGCGTATGTATGTGTACCCTGACGCCATGAAAATGAACAAACTGAGTGAGCGACTGATTTGTTCAGCCTTGAACTTCTCTTTGGAGTGCATTAACTCTGCTGCCGCACAAAACAAACCGAGCACACACACAGTCGCACACGCACAGACGCACACTGGCAGCAGAACTGCGGCGACAGCAGCGGCTGCGCCTTTCGTGCTTGCAAAAAAGAGAACATTTTTTTTGCGCTCGTCTCTCGCTCGAACGAACATGCGACTGTGTATGAGAGGGCGAGTCAGAATTTTTGTTCGTACTGCATTTCTGTTGCTGTTGCTGTCGCTGTCTGATCTCATTGTAGACTGTTGTTGCTTTATGTAATCTAGAATGTAGTCTTGCCATGCACACACAAACACACACTCACGTACATTAACTTATAAATAAAGAAGTGTGCGTGTATATATGTAGATGCACACACAGTCACATGCATATCAACATGGGCATGTGTATTTGTATTTACACTGGAACTGCAAGCTGTGTCTTTATCTGCGCCCCCATTTAGGATCGTATTACATAAGCGACACTAAATGGTGTTGTTGACCAGCGATAAGGTTCGTATTATACATATGCAAAAATATGTACACACATGCACATGCACATGCATGCATGTATATAAGCACATACGGAAAGTGGGCGTGGTGTAGGTGTACACACACATTCATGCATACAAACATACATACATACATATGTATGTACATAGACGCTCATTCCTTTTTTAATGCCTGTTCTCTGCACACACACACAGACGCACCATGAGTATTTTGAACCTTTCTGGCGTTGGCCTTGAACCTACTGCCGATCGTGCGCTCCGACAGCAACTGAACTGAACTGCGGCTGCTTGGCAAAACAGATACAGATACCTACGGACCAGACGCCACCGAATGTGTGGAGTTATAAAACTCACAGACACACACTCACACACACACACACACTATCAAAAGCAACGACTGCAGCTACAGCTATAGATACTGCTGCGTCAATTCATTTCATTCTTAATGCCGGTATACGGAGCCCTCAAAATGGACCTGGGCACGGCCAGCAACAGTTTTTTTTTCGCACACACCCACATACTCACATACATACATTATGTAAGTGAGTTTGCATGTGAGCACACATGTACACTTGCACACACAATACATGTACATATGTATGTATGTATTTTGAATTCACATTCGAATTTGCCTGACCCCACACAACATTGCAAATGTCTCTGACTGTAGACCTTGAGATTGTTTTTAGCTCCGTTCGTAGAAGTAAAACAGTTGTTTTTCTTTACAATTTGCATAGTCACATATGAATACATACATACATGCAAATGTACATATCGTTTATCTGAATGTTTGTGTGATGTAAGAATTATTGTTCACACTTCTGATGTGTGTACGTCGATTACATTTAATTAAAAGTTTTATTTTGTTGTCAATCAAAAATGAATGCATGTATATAATGTATATTTATACATGTATGTATAGATGCATATAGTATATACATATGTACATCTATATATGTATGTATATATATGTACACATGTACATATGTACGGGTGGACATTCTATATTATGCATGTCTTCAAGTGTTAAATCAAGATAATTCTGAAACAAAGGAGCGAATTATCCATCGTAATGTAACGGAACATCAACGCGACATTGCAACGCCTTTGTCGTTGTTATTGTGTAGTTTCGTTGTCCCACGACTTCCGCGTGAGAGCATTGCGTGTAATCGCAATCGTCGGGTGACTCATTTCTGTTTGACTTTTGAGCTTTTTTTCAATATTGAGCCGGCGGAAGGAGAACTTTTCAAATTATGAATGAATGGAAGTAGAGAAGCAGAGAAACGCTGTCAAAAACCACAACAGAATCAGAATCAGAATCAAAGTCAGAGCCAGACCAAGGAAAGGAACGGACAAATGGCGTTCGCAGAAGAGAGCCTCAACAAAAGAGAGCACAAGAGAGAAAAGTTCCAAAAAGAGCAACAATGAAAAGGAGCAAAAGAACTAAGAGCAAATGGTGAAATTAACTAAATAAATTATTAAATACGTACATATGTACATACATATACACACACAAATATATGTATATGTATATATCTATGTATGTATTCACATGTGATCAATGTACATATTAAAGAATTTACATAAAGAATTTGAACATTTGTATGTTAAGTAATATTCTTACCTGCTTTTTACACTTCAAATTTTTTTGGCTTTTTGTTTTGCTCATGCCTTTCTGTTCAGCTTTCGTCAGTATGTGTGTAGAGTGGGCGTGGCCGTCGACAGTCAAATGACATACTCAAATATGTATTCATGTAATATGTATGTATGTTTATGGCTGTTTTTAATTCCTAATTATATTCTATTCTTTCATTCGATAATCCACAAATTGCATAAGCATTTGCAGAAGAGCCGCCTTGAAATTGTGACCACGTCATTCACAGCGAAACTGGAACTGTCGCTTCCTTGGGCCACAACGCACTCACTCAAGTTCTGAGGTCCAAAGCTTCTCGAATCGCCCTGTAGAGATCAATTGCATGGCATGCTAACATACTACTACACTTGTGTGTGCAACATGTTCGATTGGATACAATTGCAGGCAAGATCGAACATGTTGCAGCGAACACAGTTTGCTGCTAACAGATGCAATGTTCGACCCAGTTTCATTATTTTGTGGCTGATGTTGCCGTTGCCGTTGCCGTTTGCTGTTGGTAATTTTATGTTGCTCTTCGCTGCGGATTGTTGTTGCTGTTGTTTTGTCTCCATCTCGAACGTATTGTGCTTAGTGATCTTTAACGGAAGTTCGCTTTCTCTTTTTTTTTTTTGCCAAACCAATTGGTATGCTGTGCTGTTTGGATGTTTGATAGTTTCTGCCTTAGATATTTGACCTCATATTAAATTCTGATTTTTTGCAACTGTGTAAAATTGATCGAAAGCATTCAAGTCTTTTCTATGCCATTGGCTTGCATGCTGCTTACATTTATATCTATATTTATATATGTATATACTAAATCATTCTTAATCATGTATTAAATAGTAGAAATGTTTAATTATTTACCTTAAATTACGCCCTTACAGATAGCACAATCTACGTAAATTTGCTCACACATACATACACATGTATATATGCATACAGCAATACAGGGACACACATACTGATAATAAAACCCTAAACTCTGAGTCAGTGAAAAGGCCATCGACATGCTCCGTGCACTATTCCTACTTTCTCTGTTCCTTTTTGCTTTGTTTTCATCTCTCTCTTTCTCTCGCTCGTTCGTCCTTTTTGCGTTGGATGGCATGGAAGTTAAACTTTCAAGGTTAAGCTCACTGGCGTCGAGCAATGACATTTGGCTGGCGACGAGCCATCGACCACTGTACAGTGGTACAATTAGCACTAATATATGTAAATATGTAACATTTATGTATGTAATAAGCTTTCAATATGTTTCGATTGAAATTGTCGACATACTAGCGATAATTATAAATAACATATCTATATTTATGTAAAGTTTGTAAATGTTATGAAATATGTTCCATATGCATTTGATAATTAGCTTCACTTAACTTTGAATTAGAAACCAATGTGCCAGTGTTCTCTTGCTCTCTTTTCTCCGTCAAGTTCTTCAGCCGTCTGCCTGCTGTTATTGCGCACGTTCACATTCTAAGGATATGCCCTGCACTGCGTTGGGCTTATTAATTTGTGGATGCGCGTAGACACCAAGCTCAGATTTTAGTGCTGACGTAATAATTCGCTAATAATTCATTCACAAATCAATTTCGTAAGATTTTAGGAATTATAGGAAATTTATTAATATATTTTAATATATATTAAACAAACAATCATTTTCATACAAAAATTAAATCAAATTAATTAGATTCATTATCAAGTCGCTCTAAATACATACATATTCATTAAGCTTTTTATGTATTCCTTCAATAGTAGTCAGCTCAGCACAGAAAGGTGATTAGCGCTGTGTGTCCAGCCGCATAAGAATATAACAACTCCACGCACTTGCACACATACATATGTATGTATATAGTGAAGAGCGCAGACTGAAAATTTTATTAGTTTTGTGCGCACACACACAGGCAGACAGACAGACACATTCATATTGCTTCATAGAAGGGACAGTAAGATGTGCTGTCACCCCGACTGGGGGTGTTGTCCTTGTCCTTGTCGTTGCCGCCATCGCTGTTGTTGTTGTTATTGGTGTTGTTCTCGAGGTGCGCGTCGTCTGCTCCTGCTCGTTGAAAGGGAGAGGTTATTAGACTTAGCCCAGACATTTGCCGCGGCTGCTCCTTTTTTTCTTTTCTATTTTCATTTTGTTATAATGACCTTTCACTTTTAGGTTGGGTACGCCGACGACGGAAGCATCAGGTTGTGGTATGAGCGCGGTTCATCAGACGGCGACGCGGCCAGTGTCCTCTATATAGCTTTGTAACTCTCAGAGCCGACGAACCCTGCCACGTCACGAACGCCAAAATACTTCGAGAATTTCATTTGGTCGTTGACTCAATAGATGCAATAATAGCATGAAATTACACGCCAGCTCAAGGAGGGTTGGTCACCTATGCAACTTATGGAAACTATCTCAAAATGTGATGCGATTTTTATGAATTATTATATATAACTTTGTATGGTTGTATGTACATATTTATTATCTAATATATATATATTTATATCAATTTATAGCTCAGTTTTCAGGGATTTTAAAGAAGACACTTCCAGAAGCTTCTTAGCTTTTTGGGAAAGTGAAACCTTGTATAGTAGCCATTGATGCTTCTCGAAGCTTCCGCCAAATCCCCATAAAGCTAGCCCATAGCTGAGGTAAACAAAACATTGTGTTAGTACCAGTTCTAGTGTTGCCCAACATAAACTCTATATTTTGAAAATATAAGTTGAAACGATGTACATACACATGTTATAAGTCGCAATGTTGTGCTATATGTTATAAGTCAATCTACAGCTTGTCTGTCCCTGCTGCTATATTTATATTTGAATTTATTTCTTATTAAAGTTTAAGTACTCAAGCATTTTTCAATTATATTTGATTAACCTTTAAATCCAGAACGGAAATGACCAAGAATGTGTGGAAATTTGTTCCATTGGATATTTGGAAACATAAAAGTAATGGATTCGATATTATTATATACACATGTATACGAACAGTTATATTAACCGAATCTGCATACGAAATATATACATATATCCCGCTCAAATATCCTTAGTAATACCAAAGTCTTTATCTAGATACTTTTAAATAGAATATGTATATACCAGCGATTATTTGTTCATTATTCATCTGTCACATGACATACATACTCAGGGCAATTTGAAATTGTTATACGGCTCAACAAATCGAATTTCTCCAATGCCAACTAAATGCCGCTTTTCACTGTAAATTACTTAACTATTTTGCCCAGTTTTGCTTTGCCGTACAATTTGCTCAGTGCATTTTGTTGCACAATTACAATTCATGCCACAAAGCAGCAAAGCGGGAAAATGATGCAGTAGAAGAAGAAGAAGAAGACGAAGAAAAAGATGGGGAAAACGGCCAAAGCGCTAAGTTGGTCATGACATTCAAAAAGGCCAAACACAGGTAATGGCCACTATTTAGATGTGCATGTGTGTGAGTGTGATTGTATATGCGAGCATATGTGTGTGTGTTTAAGGCTGGCCTACTGCAAATGGGTAATTCGATGATTCTTACCCATTTTGAAATTGCGATAAATGGGAGAGACTTTTTTATGCCGTGAACTTAAGAATGATTAAACTTTATATTATAGGCAGATGACTCTTAATTTAAATACATATGCATATACTATGTATTTTACATTTATTTAACTGTAGTTGTATTGCTATTGCATAGATTCATGGATGATGAATGTACAAATCTCTCTCCAGATCAATGACAAGATCTCGTAGAGTAAAAAAGGTATGAGCCTTCATTATGAAATTTTTTTATTTTCTATATTTTTCTGCATATTTTACTTCATTTTCTTCTTAATACATATTTGTAAATAGATTTTGATTTACTTTTTAATTTAACTACCGCGAATGCTAAATGGTTAATATTATGTTCAGTCTTGTAATTAATATATTTTTATATCCAAATAATATGGGTACATAATTTTTCCCAAAATTAAAATAATTATTTAATAAATTTGTTCAGCACATCTCTAAATTGTTTTAAAATGTAATTTTAAGTTATTTATTATAACAATACGTTTTTTTATGGCTGTAAAAAACGTATTCTTCAATTTCAATTTTAGTACACATTGTGGTAGTTGGAATAATATAATATGAACTAGATGTAATAGAAATGGGGTTGTACTTATTGTCATTGATTAATTGGGACTCTTATTTATTAACGTATAAAATGCTGAAATATAATACATCTTTTTGGGGCCATTTGCAAAAATTTTTACGTTGTCTTTAAAGGGTGATAGCCTTTGGCCCCCTTTGTGTAATAGTATATAACTAAAACATTTTAAGATTACCATCAAATACATTACAAATATTTGAATTAAAATCAAATACATTTAAAACTTAAGTTGACAAATTCCTATTAAGCCAACTTTAATAAATTGAAAGACTTAAATTGAAGTGGAAATTGGCTTGAATCACAGGTTATCAGATTAACAGATTATCAGATTATTATACAGAGAAATTTTAGCTATGCGCCAGCTTCATATACGTATTTATATTACAACTTTCTATTAGCTGGACATTCTGACTGGAACGGTTAGTGTTCGTCAATGGGAGATTTGACTGTAGTTATGCATTTTGAAATTTACTTAATATTTACCAATATTCTAGAAATGCATTCATAGATGATTTCCTCGCAGCTAAGTCATTTTTAACTATCCGAAATTTTTATAAATTAAATTAAAATAAAATTAGCTTAACTAAAATCCAATAAAATGGTTATTTTAGGAAAAATTTTCTAAAACCTCATTGTTTAAAAAATTGTTTTTAAAATGTATATATAACTGTAAAAACTTGAGCTGTTTTGCCCATCCGCTAGGAAATTGGCAAGCTAAAAATAAATTTGTAAAAGTTATACACTCACACACACGCATACATAGACATATATACAATATGCACATAGTTGAAGCTCATTGTAACTGCGAGCCATCAATTTTAATTCTTATCATAATCGTTATTATTGTCAGATTAATTGATTGCACCGTTCGTGATCGCCGTTGATTCGGTCTAAGCTGAGTCGAGTTGTTATGCGCACTGCTTTACTTTCGAAACCCAATTCTATTTGACACACACACACTTACACTCACACACAAACACAAGAAACACGAGCAAACACACAAACAAACACACACACTCGTGCACATAGAAATTTCACGCAGAGGCAACCTAATTTGTCACTCAAACTCCAAACCGAAAGCAAATGTGGGACACATTTATTAATTTATGCATGCAACACGAATCGGCAAACAACAAATGCTAAAATGTATTTACACACACACACAGACAGGGGGAGATGGACCGATAGAGAGAGAGAGAGAGAGGGATGCATGTATTTGCACAGAAATGTATGCAAATATCTATGTATGCGTGCATTTATGCTAAGCAATGTGTCCGTGTCTTTGGCTGTGTGGGTGTGTGTGTATGTACTACTGCATTTGCAATCAAAGTTGACGTCGAAGCCGACACACAAAAAATAGAAAGTTTACGTGTTGCATTATTTGCCTGATGCAGTTGCCGCTGCTGTTGCTGCCACTGCCGTCGCCGCCGATGCCGCTGCTGCTGCTGCTGTTGCTGTTGCAAGCATTTGCTGCAATTTTCTCTTTGCAATTTGATTGAATAAAATATTGTGTAAAAGCTAATGTCGACGTTTTTGCCAACTTTCCAACCGCAATCGAGGCTTCTAACTCGGTTACGGTTACTAGAAGCAATAATAATTACATTTGTCCCACTTTACTTTCACTTGGCGAGAGTCGAATGCGAATGCGAATGCAACTGCTGCAATTCGCAATTTGTTGGCAACTGCAACGGCGACGGCGCGTCGGCAATGGCGGACGCCACACGGCAATAGAAACCGGCGTTAGCAGCGACGTCGACTTTGACTTTGTGGCGTTGGGTAAAAATGTCTGCGTGTGTGTGGTGTGTGTTGTGTGTGTTGTGTGTGTGAACGAGTGAGCGCTTGTGTTGGTGTGTTGCATGAAAAGTTGCAACTTTTTCCAGTCGCTTGGTTGGTGGAAATTGTTTACCGTTGCCTGTTGGCAAAAAGGAAAAGTGGGTCAAGCGCAGCATTGTTGCCACACTATTGCAACGTCTACGGCTGTCGTGCTTGTTGCACAGCGCGCTTTGTGGCACTTACTTGACAATTGCCAAGCAGGCCAAATTGTGAATTTCGTTTGCCGTCTTTGTTTTTCTCTATTTTTTTTTCTCTCATTTTTTCTGCACTGACATTTGCATTTCATTTGCAAAAATAGGCTGCAACGATAATTTTCTCTTTTCTTTTTGTTTTTCTTTTTTTTTCCAAGCTATACTCGTTTAAAGTAAGCATCCAAGGGTATAATATATGTAATTGTAAATATATGTATGTATGTACATAAGTATGTATGATTGTATGCACTTTTAAATCGAACCAAAAGCGATAAGTATCGATTGCTTGTTACGTTTTCTTGTTTTGCAATTGGTTTTGATTTTTAAAACGGTAAGTTTTGAATGGTCCGACAGCGTTGCCAGCTCAAAAGAAAGGTGCGGTACCTAAAATATGAAAAAGTACTAAATTTTTACATGAATGAGTACAGCTATTGCAACATTTTTATTTGTTTTCGTTTTAACGTATTTCATTTTTGATTTTCAGAATAGTAACAAAAACTAAAAAGTAGAAATAAACTAATTGAATAAATGAAATGCATGTGTGTTGATTGTCAAAGGGATATTTCAGAAAAACGTACGATGTACCATTGCTTAGTTACAGTACAACTTTGTTGGTACTGCTGTCTGTACCTTGTACCACAATTGGTACCTAGTCGAGCACACCCCAAAAAAGATAATATTCTGTTTGTTTTTTTTTTCGTTTAACATTTTTCCAATTTATTATCTATCATTTAAAGTTTGCGTATTACTAAATATTACATTTTATTTACTTTACAATGCGTTAGACACTTATTTGTTCTGTGTTTTACTTTTTTTTGTTTTTGTCTGCTGTCTCGTCTCTTCTGTACATACACAAATTATAATTATTAATTTTAAATTTTTAATTTTTTGTTTTATTTTCTTTATTTGCACGATCTTTTCCATTGTGCTCTATAAGTATTTACATGTACTTAAGTAATTAATATGAAATCGAATAGAACGCAAAATTGGATGTTTTTGGTGGTCCGTATTATATGTATTATTATTATAGACTTGAAATCGGCTTTTCGAATTCCTCAATCTATATTGTGTTTTTATCAAATGTATTCAGCATAGTCTTGTTGTTCAAGAAGAATCTGTTGTTGTAATGCATTAACTTAACGTTGTTTTATGTTGCTTTACGTAATTGACTAGTGTCCCAGGCCATATCCTGATTTTAGGATATTTCTTAGTCTGAAATTTACCAGATGTTAAATATTCAATAAATTCAACTAGCTGCAGAGGCAACTGATTCAATTGATTCATACGTACGTCAAACAACATTTTCAGATGAAAAAAACAAAACAAAGGAAAGTTAAGTGCAAGTCACGGACTCGCTTTAGGAGAATTTAGATTCAGGAACTCGCTAATAGAGTGTTTATAGGCCTTATATACAGTACGTATGTGTATGTATGATATGAAATATAATCCAAAATTATATAGTGCATTATATTAATAGTTAATCTTTTGGTATAGTTCTGTTTGTCCGAATACAATTTCGTCTGCTTCCGCTTGTGAGATAAAACTAATGATAAAGTATGCTCAGCTTTTACTTCATTTAAAATTAAATACGAGAATATTGATAATGCTCAGCTGGTATAGAGAGTGTGTTCTATGCTTGGAAAAGTTGTGCACGCTAATGCAAGTATTCATTCTCTTTAGTCAGTTTAGATCATAGGTATGATCGATTTCAAGATCATATTTGAAAACTAAACGTAGTCAATATGGATAGATCATATTTGAAATGTGAGCATAATTAATAACACCTCTTAATCGGAACTAAACTGAGTGTACTCAAAATTAAAGTGTTTCAATTGTTATCAAAATATTCAAAACAAAATAAAAAACAAAAAATAAAAATAAAAAACGAAATTAGCTCGAGTGCACAACGATTGAAATGATTGTAATATGGATGAGGAGAAAGCTCTCATTGGTTATCGCCGATGCAGAATGTTAGAGAGTGTGCGTATTTGTTTCTGTAGCTCAGAGTCCATGAGGCGGCATTCCTTTTCAAAGATATCGCGTATCTGCTGCAGCTGGGGCAGCTTATCGGCCTGCATATTGAGCAGATCGCTGAAGAACTTGGACCAGACGTGCTTTTTTAGATATCGTGGCACCTTTTGCCGTATCTCCCAGCCGGCCGTGCGCTTCTCCGGCTGCATGTACTCGCCGAAGAGCATCACGTGCACCGTGCTGGCAATGCAGAACAGATCCGTTTCGAAGGACCACGAGCGTCCCTCCTGCATTTCGATGCACGTAAAGCCGTCCGTTTGCACCACCTTGCGGAACTTGGTGCGCTCGCCGTCGGGAAAGAGCGACAGATCGATGGCGCAACCGAAATCAATCAGTCGCAACGAAGGCTCTGGACTGTCCACATTCGGCACACGCATCAGCAGAAAGTTATCCGGTTTGATGTCCGCATGGATGATATGCTGTTTGTGCAAGTGATCCACAATGTTGCAGATCTGTGCCGAGAAGTGCATGACGAGGGATTCGTGCATCACCTTCGTGGTGGCCTGACGTATCTTGTTATTGATGTCCAGCAACGAACCGAAGGGCGAGAACTCGGTGGCAATTAGACTCGCATTCGGCGCTATAATCGCCGTTGATATGTCCATCAGTCCGGGCAGCACCTGAGGATCCCGAATGCGGCGGAGCACCTATACAGACGAAGACCCGAATTCCGTATTAATAATATTAAATATTAATTGCCAAGCGGAATATTTACCTGATCACATATGTAGATCTCCCAAGTATTTGGGGGCTTCTGGTACTTGAGTGCCACCAGGTTGCCGGAGCGCGTGTCGGTTGCCTTGTAGACAGATCCGTAGGAGCCGCGACCCACCTCCTTGTCGATATTGAAGTGCACGCTGTCCAACACGTTGAGGGTGCGCGTATTGGAGATTTTTGGCAGTAGCGTCTGCACCACTTTGTAGCTGGCGTGCTCATCGTTGTCTCCCGGGAAATTCAGTTTGGTCAAGAAGGCGCGACACAATTCGCTGTTAAACGGGTCGATGGCCACCTTTTCCATATGACGGTCGATTGTCTCCAGGGCCTTGGACAGGCGACGCTCCTGTGCCTCCGAGTCGTGCTGCGTGGCGAAATACGAGTTCTCCTGAAATGTGGAAAAGTCCGCGTTGCTTGTGGCGGTTTGTGTCGTCGTCATGTTGTTGTTGTTGTTATTGTTGTTGGTGGCATGCTGCGACTTGTTGTTGCCACCGCAAGCCAAGTGTGAGGCATCACGCACATGCAGTCCATCCACGGCTAAAGCCAGCGAGTTGTTCGAATTGTCATGACCCCCGGCGCTGGAGAACGAGAAGTTGGCGTTGTCATTGAAGGTAGCGTTGTGTATGGGCGCCGCAGCAGCCTCAGAGTCCGCATGGCCTGGACCAGTGTCCACGCCATTCGCCACCTGATCGGGCACTGAGCAGGACGAGTTGCTGTTGCTGTACAGCTCCCGTTGAAACTTGCTCTGTTTCGCCTTGGAACGAGCACGCCGACTCTCGTTCGCTGTGCTCTTTGGCGTCGAGGTCTGACCCAGCATATACGGATGGAAATGATGGTTGCCGTTGCGTTGGCGCGGCACTGCAGTCGCTCCACTCCAGTCCTGGACAATTTTGGGCGAAGCGGCAAGCTTTTGTATGGGCGTGACAGCAGGAGCCGGCGCAGGCACTGCTACAGGCTCGGGCGCCGGCGAAGGCAGGTCCTGCTGCTGATGGTAAATGCTCTCTATTTTATAAGCACTGTACGTGCTACTCTCCAGCGTGCGTTCCTTCTTGAACTTAATCTTGATGGAGCGATTCTGCTCCTCGAACGTTGTCTTGGCACTGAAATGCATGTTGCCATCGACGCCATTTCTGTATTCCTGCTTGACGGGCTCTGCATCATGGTCCTGCTGATCGGAGCCCTCCTCGTCCGACTCCTCCTCTGATTGCTCTTCACCTTCGTCGTCCTCATCGGGCCCCGAATTTCCTTCCTCTGCTTCTTCGGTGTGCTGCGCATAGAGCTCGCCATTCACCTCCGACATATAGTAGGATCTCTCTGTCTGATAGGAATCGTATAGTTGCTGCTGCTGCTGCTGTTGCTGTTGCTGTCCAGCCGGATAGGTAGGTTCCTTCTTTAGTTGCTGGTCATGCTCTGCAGGCTCTTGTACTTTCACATTTGGCGACTGTAGCGGCGCTTGCGCTTGCGCCAGTTGCTTGCGCTGCTCCAGCAGCTCGATATACTTGCGGGCCAGCAGCTCTTCCGGACTATATTCGATGCCTGCTCCAGCCGGATAAACCAGCTGCTTGGCATAGTGACAGACGCGCGAGGGATCGTCTGGCTCCTCTAGAGTCAGTGCCGGCTTCCAGGTCTCGTGATTGTTGCGCCCATAAGCATGAAAATTACGCGGCAAACGCACGCCGCCTACTTCCGTCAAAGAATCCACAGGCTGTGCCTGTTGCTGTGGATATGCCTCGTTGGAGGTGGCAGGTAACGCCACCTGCTCAAGCTGTCCCTGTACTTGTGCTTCATAGCATGTGTTTGTGTTTGTGGCAGGCTAAAAGAGAAGAATAGGTATTTAGTTATCATGTAGGAGGTATTAACAAAGTTGCATACTCTATTTTGGTGCGAGATGGGTGAGTAGTGTGGATGTGCCACCGTTTGATTGGGTGCAGCAGCAAGTGCGGGCTGATGGAACTGCTGCTCAAAGCGTGCTGCCACCGCAGGAGGCGGCTGTAACAGTTTAAAGAGACACGATGAGCTGAGTGACGCACTTTAAATGAAATATACTCAACGTTACCTGTTCCTGTTGCTGGTAGTGAGTTGGAGGCGGTGGCTGTTGTTGCTGCTGTGGCTGTTGGCCATGTATTTGGGGCAGATAGGCTAGCTCCTGGGGATGCTGCTGATATTGGTGAAAGTTCTCCTGATGCAGATGATGGGCTCTTAATGCTGTGTCTGGCGCAGGATGTGGATAGACTGGCTGCTGATGCTGGTGTTGATGCTCCTGTTGCTGGTGATGACTTTGTGTGTATGCTGTTAGCTGCTGCAGTGCGTCATGGGGAGGCGGCGCCTGGTGCTGGTGTTGTTGGTGGTGCTGCTGCTGAAGTTGCTGCACTTGTTGCTGTTGCTGCTGCTGCTGCTGGTAAAACATTGAGCGACCGTAGGTAAACTTGGCATGGGCACTTTGAAGCTCATCACTGCTGTGGGCTTTCTCTTGAAAAGCCAGATTAAATACTGCTTCGGCGTCCTTAAACTGTTCGTGCGCCTCGTAGTAACTGGCCCAGCCTATGTAAAATGCAGCCACCTGGCGTCCAGTGCCGCGCTGGAAGAGCACCTGATAGAATCGTAACTGATCAGTTTGCATGGCAATGTATTTAAGCCAGAGGCGCACTAGCCGCACGTCCTGCCTATAGTAATCGTCGTGCTCGTAGACTGTGAGACAGCGCTCGAGCGTTTCGCGAAATTTGCGATCTGGGTCGCTGTGCGCATGGTTTTCATACCAGCAGATGTAGTTGTACCAGTGATCCAGCGGATCAGGTCCCTGGTAGAGCGATATTGCATGTTCCCATGCCTGCTTGTCCTTTAGGAAGTTGTTCACCTCGTCGGGACTCAAATTCACATTGACATTGTTTGTTTGGGTTTGGTTCGGGTTGGCCCGCATATATGAATGCATGGCCATGCTGATGGATGTGCAGCCAGAGTGGTATCTAGTCTTTAGCTGTACCTTAAAAGCATTTGCATTTGTACACACAAGTTTCGTAATGATACAAAATTATTTACACTGCTCTTTGACCGAGGCCGTAGCGGAGGTGGGGGTGTATATATATTTAAACGACAATTAATAGTCAATCTATATACTTTGTTGCAGTCGGATTAAATATTTTGTAATATTATTGCGTTCACATTCAATAACTTTCAACAATTCAACAAAAATTTACTTCTATTTTAATGTTTTTTATGTCGCTGTGGAGTTGATAAGCTATCGTTTCTGTTTTATGGCGGCTAACCGATAACACAATAAGCAACACTGGTAGATTTCATTAATTCTATGAGGGGTGCTCCTATAAGCAAATGTAAAATAATAACACAGCTAGATTTCAATGTAATAAAAAATTATAATATTCCTATTTGAAAAAAATGTATTACCAAAATTATTAATAAACACACATTTTTTCTCTTGCTGGTTCTTAATTATATATGTAAATTAAGTGGACAAGCCTTTAGAGTTAGTAGATAATAAAGTAACGTTGATGTTAATTAAATGCGCATTTATTGAGAAATATGTAAAGCGTGAAAATTACAAATGCCTTTCCGAAACTATGATTTACTATTGCTTGCAGCCCCAAAAATAAAAAAAACCAAAGTGGTTCAAAGAGTCCCTCATAATAATCTCGGCAATTCTTTTAACGACTACTTTTTTTTTAATTTACTTCCACGATCAATATACTATAATATTTAATAGAATTTATATATTCGCTTCGTTTCGATTAATTTTAAAGGAAATCATTAGCATTGTCTTAAAATTGTCAACACAGTTATAATATATGTTGCTTATTAGGAACAAAATGGAATCGGTATAAACAGTCTATCAAAATACTGTTTGAGTATGTTAAAAGTTACATCGAAATATATCGATAAGTTCACAGCCCCCTCTCTACACCTATGTTTTAGTCTTTTTGCTACAATACATTGTTTTTATCAAAACTCACAAACCACAAAAAATTTACGTGTTTAATGCTTAATCGTTGACTGTGCAATATTTCTTTTGTGTTCTTTTTACGTGCAAAGTACTGATTAAACATACTTAACTAAATCTTATACTACATACTCCTGAAACGCCGAGGCTGAATTTACAACTGCAACACACTGGAAGCCTTTATCGATTTCACCTCAAATGTATAAATACAGTGTATTAATGCAATAAAATTTATATAACTACATATTGTTATATCCATGCAGAATTAATCCAAAACCTCATCATACACCGAAGAATTCATATCAATGATCCCATACATTGTAAAACATTTATGAATTATACAAATGAAAAATGTATGTATTTACCCGCATACATACAAACATATTAATGTTACTGCACAAGATAGAGCGAATCTAATTTGAATTTTTAATTGCTATATTTAATTTACAAACATATCTATTATTTAATATTAGTTAATTGTCCAAGAATTGTTCTTTTGATAAATAGCTTCGGTTTAGCTTTATTCTTTGTGCATTATTTAGTCGCACAGAAAAGTGGATTGGAGTCTTTTGCTAACTTATATTGTAGAATGCGAGCTTAGCTCATCAAATAGCTATTCAATTGACATGTCTTGTATATTGAACGTCTCTTTTGGTTATTAATCAAGCCCACATATATATAAACAATTAGATAACGGCCATAAACTGAACTTACGGATAACACACACACACACAGCAGCAGCAGCGCTTAGATAATGGAAGTATCGGCCGATCCCTATGATCCATACGAGCAGAAATTGTATCAGATGTTTCAGAGTTGTGAGACATCAGATCGTAACAATGGCCTGCTCGACGAAGTCTCACTAACACGCCTCTGCCAGCTGCTCCAGTTGCGTGACCAGGGCTCGGCGCTGATCTCCAGCCTAACTGCGAGCTGTCCCAGCTCCAAGTTGGGTGTTTCATTTGAACAGTTTAAGGTGGCGCTACTGAACTTTCTGGGCCCCGAATTCGAGAGCTCGTCGAGGTCCGCATTGGGCACAGCATCTGGATTTAAAGGTAAGCTGCAAATTTACCTAACCATGATCGTCACCTGGCAGTCATAAAACGTTCCGTGTGCCTGAATTACACTTTTTATGAGGGGTGCAGCAGGATTAGCAGTTCGCTGCATGTTGATTGCTTGGTCAGGTAACAATAATTGAGCACTTAAATACATTTGGCGCTAAGGGTTTGCACATCAGTTGCGATTAGTTGCTCAAAGTGACAGAATGGGCACACGATTATATTACAAGCAGTGCAAGAGTTGCGCAGATCCTATTATTGAAAAGCTGGCGGCTCGTTTCGGTAGACAAAATCACCGCAGGAGAATATCACAAGTAAATCACTAAAATTCTTCTGCTCTTTTACAGAACGTTCCTTGGTGATCAGTGACGAGTCAGCTACCAAAATCTACTCTGAAATACAGCCCGAGGGCGACGCTTCCGATCGTGAGGTTTCTCCCAAACTGATAGTGGGTACCAAGAAATATGGACGTCGCTCACGGCCACATCAGATTCTAGGTCTCGACGTTACGGACTCGGACAATACGGACGAGGATCAGCACAAGAGCCTAAACGGCTGCAATGATCACACCGTTCAAGTAAGACGCTGGCCAACAAGAAGTGATTGTCCATTTACGTTTATTAATCAATTCGTTTCCTTTTAGGTGCATCGGTCATCCTCACAAAGCGATCTTCCTGGCAGCCGAGTCTTGCGCTCCGTCCACTACAGCGGCAGCAAGCTCAAGCGTTGCGCCTCGCTACCGGCACGCAAAAATATGCACTCCAAAATGATGACCACATCAGCCACAACGAGCGCCACAACGTCCTCGACAGTAGGTACGCAAGTCGGTAATAGCAGCAAAAAATGTAATCTTAGAGAGGCACAAAAGGAGTGCAGTAGCGTGGAATCGCTGGGTAAGTGCAGAGTGAGATAACACAATGTGTGCGGTCTCTCACTATATAACACTTGGAACAAGATCCAAATTACAATTATTGCAAATGCATGCTGTTGTGTGGATATGTTTGAGCTGCAGTTGAAAAGCCAGAAGGCAGAATGTGAATATAAATGCATAGAAATGAATATAAATATATAGAAAGCAAAAGGAATTTTTGATCATACATGCACATAGATAGCGTTAGCTTATCCAGCTTTAGAGATACGGTCAAATCTATAGTTTTGGCAAACAGCTGGCATCTGTTATTATGGATTTCAACTGCTAACGCTTTAATTAATTATTGTTTGTAGTAAATATATTATTAATAGTCTTCATGCTTGCAGAAATGATGACGCCACATCAGCTAGAGACGATCAGTGCGCACAGCCTTATTGAGACCTGGGAAATGGCGAATATCGTTAATAGTGTGGGTCTATTGCATGCCCTGGGCTTTGACGATGAGGATGAGGAGGTGAACATTAATCAGTTGACCAAAGTGCTTGAGGAAGAACTGCGTGGCCTGGAGCACGATCCAAATACGAATGTGCTGCGTGCTCTCATAGCGCTGCAAGCTGTGGAACTGGGCTCACTGCGTCAGGCATATCGTCAGCAATATCAAGAGAATCAGAAACTGCGATCCGATAACAAGGCGGCCAATCAGCGCGTGGCGATCTTGGCAGCTGAGGTGGATGAGCGGCATGCCATGTTGGAGGACAACTGCAAAAAGGAGGTGCAACAGCTGGAGCAACGGCATGCGAGTATGGTGCGCGAATTGACGCAGCGTATTACAAGCGATCGTGACCATTGGACCAGCATGACAGCAAAACTGGAAGCTCAGATTAAGAGCCTCGAGCAAGAGGAAATTAAGCTGAAGACCGAGCTGGAACTGGTGCGCACTGAAAATAGCGAACTGGAGATGGAGCAGCAGAAGGTCCATCTGCAAATGACTGAACTACTGGAGCAAAACATTAAGTTGAACAAGGATTTGGCCATGTCTGAGCCCATTCGGTCCGAAACGATATCAGAAAACAACGATCATGTTGTCATCGGGCGAGATAAGTCCACTGACGATGATGAGATGCTGCACGTTATGGAAAAGATGACTGCATTGCAAATGGAGAACGCCCAGCTGCGCGACAAAACTGATGAGCTGACAATGGAAATCGAGAACCTGTACGTTGATCTGGCGCGCACAAAGTCTAGAAAAAAGCAAGCTGCTTCGCCTGGCACTGCGAGTGCGTCTGCTGCGGAGTCAACAGAAGGCGAAGAGCAGGAGGCTGTAAGCGTTGCGCTGGCCACGAAACGGCGAGGTGACTCACCAAGCAAGCCGCACATAACTGGGGAAAGCCCGCGGCTTGGAAAGCAGCGCAAGTGTTCAGAGGCAGGCGAGGTTAGTGATAATAGCGGCGATTGGCTAGCCCTCAATTCGGAATTACAAAGCTGTAAGAATCACGAGGAGGAGATCGCTTCGCTACGGCGAACCATAGAGCAGTTGGAACAAGAGCTACAGGCGGCAACTGCCAAGCCAACGGAGAGTAGCAGCCGTGCCACGCCGCCGGAGACACGCTGCAAGGAGCTAGAGATCAGTTTGGAGCAAATGCAGCGAGCTTATGAGGACTGCGAAGATTACTGGCAGGCCAAACTAAGTGAGGAACGTCAAATGTTTGACAAAGAGCGGCACATATACGAAGAAGAGCAGCTGGAAAGCGACAAAAAGTTCACGGAGCTGATGGAGAAAGTGCGCGAATATGAGGAACAGTTCAGCAAAGATGGTCGGCTGTCGCCAATCGATGAGCGCGATATGCTGGAACAGCAATACGTGGAGCTCGAGGCGGAGGCGGCAAGTCTGCGGAGCAACTCAATTCGCATGCTGGAAGAGAAATCTCAACAGATTAGCGCATTACAGTGCGAGATCGAGGATTTGCGTACACGTCTAGGCGAAAGCGTGGAAATCCTAACCGGTGCATGTGAGATCAACTCCGATGCACTGCAGCAGATCAGTGGGCAGTCGGGCCAAAGGCCTGCCAGCTCACCCATTAGTTACCTGTGGCACCAGAGCACAATCCAGGAGCCGCTGAAAACATTTGACGGTGCCAGCGAGGAAAACAGCGCCAAGGTCTTGGCTCTGCTTGGCGAATCGCCGACTCACAAAGCGACCAGCCGGTAAGTACAACTTGAGCACCCGATGAATCGGCTTGTCTGTATGCTTTGCAATCACTCTGTGTATGTGTATGTCTCACCTTATCTTAATAAAAAATGATCATGTAGTCATAAGTGTATGAATGAATGTGTTTTTTTTTCTTCCGCTCATCAAATAAATTAAATAGAACCGTTAATGTGTTTGCCTGTTTCTGTTGATTAAATGCTAGCCTGACTGACTTGAAAACACCCTGCATTTTCCTATTATTTGTGGCCTTTCTGCTTGTTTCATTGATTTTTTCATTATCTTATCGATAATGAGAATATGATTTGCACATTGCACATGCATGCTTTCATTAAAAATATAAATTTTTTTTTTTTCACCCATGTCGATGATATAACTAGAGGAGTTGGATTAGTAGAATTCAATTTAAATATATGTTTGAGAAATGGGGAGTAAAATTTTTATTTTAGAATATATATCTCTATATATAATATATTAAAGAATATACAATAATATGTTATAAATATAAAGAAAAATGTACAATTTTGGTACAGCAATTTTCATAATAGGGCTTACGGTCTTCATTATTATTGTTGTATCGTAATTAAAGATAGTTGATAAAATTTAAAATAAATATACTTATATATTTAAAGACTCTACTAATGTGAAGAAAATTTGGGAAAATATTTTAAAAGACACAAAGACCATTTCTCTGATACATAAAATAACATTTCACATTAATTAGAAAATTGGTTAAGGGTTGATAAACTAGGGTAAATGAGCCATAACTAATGAATGCATTGGGCGTGGTCAAAAGAAACTGGTATTAGCTGGCTGTGGAAGTGGCAATTAAAGTGCGATAAGCTAACGTTATGCGTGTATAATAATAATCATTTTGGTTTCCGAACTCATTGATTTTTGTGTTGTGCTGTTGATGTTGTCTGTATTTCGTTTTTACTAACCCTTGCCATTGGCCCCTTGCACTCAAGCTAATTAGAGTTTATTTTGTAGAAACAATCTTACTACTTCTACAACATCCATCTTTAGTACTACACCAGTTGATACTTCGCCATCGAGCCCCTCGCTTACAAATACTGATACCAAATATGCTTCGTCGGTCAGTATTTGCACGCCGGCGCCCATTTGCAAGCCCAAATCGCCGCCGTCTGAAGGCGAAATCGCTGATAGTGAGACATCGTCAACTGCATCGAATAAGAGCTTTGACTCGCACAGTATAGTGTCGACGAGTAAAGCCTCTTGCTTAAGCAACGAGAAATGTAATAGCCCAAGTGTCCTTAAGGAGGAATTAAAGCGTCTCAAGTTCTTTGAGCTTTCGCTCAAGGAGCAGATCAAGGATTTGAGCCTGCAACGTGACGGTTTAGTCATGGAACTGCAACAGTTGCAGGAAGCACGTCCCGTTCTCGAGAAGGCATATGCGGTAAATATAATGCCGATTATTGTCGATTGCAATCTTGTTATCAGAATTCCATATTTTTACCTAGCGAACTACACATCCGACACTTCAGCAGCGACTTAATCAACTCGAGTTGCGCAATCGTCATTTACAGAATGTAGTTAAACAGCAGCAAAAATATACCGAGTCCCTGATGCAGCGTAAGCGTAGCCTAATTTATCAAAGTTTGGGTTATGTTTAATCTTTGATCATTTCTATTTTGTAGAATCGTGGCGTCAGCATCAAGTGGATCTCAACGAATTGCATAGCCGCATCGAAGCACAAGCCGTTTTAATTGCCGATCAGACACAGCGCCTGCAGAACGCCGATATTCTTGTGAAGGATTTGTATGTGGAGAACTCGCATCTGACTGCCACAGTGCAGCGCCTGGAGCAGCAAAGGGCGCGAGTCAATCTCATTCACCAACAGCAGCAGAAGCAACAAATTGGCGCTCCGCTGAGCTCTGGAATTCCTTAAAAATTATGCAGCAAAGAAGCAGAAAACTACAACGGAAGCACATCGAAGTTATACGTGTATATTAATCAATATACTCGGCACTATTGCTGCAGTGATATTGTTCAAAATATGAAATACATATATTTATTTACATGCTATTTAATTGTTTTGTGTGTGTATGTCCGTATATAACTAATAATGTTCTCTATATGAATAAGTTTTCAACTTAAGAGCACCGATAGAAGCATCTATGTACTGAATAGAAGAATTCTCTGTACTGACTTAAAAATCAGTAATCAACTAATCGAACTTTATATTTTGGTATATACCAATGTTGACCTTATAAACTAACACAAAAACGAAAAAGAAAAAAAAAAAAAGACAAATTAATAGAGTTAACACTAAAAATAGATAACAGTATTTTAAATCCATTGTACATGTTGAGGAAACGAAAGACCAAGTTTATCATGCGCATATAGGTATTGTTGATTTTATTGGTATTGAATGAGTAAGAAAAGTCAAATGCAACTGAAAAGACCTGTAAATCTATTAACTTACAAATATGTATTTATTTCGCACATTAAGTTAGCAAATAATCTTTAAATGTTTTTGTCAAATATTTATGTATTAACATAGCGAACAAATTAATTTATCAAAGATCGATTTAATACCTAGAGCTCGTAATATTATGTTATGGTCTGTGCTTGTTAATGTACGAACAAAATATTAAATTACTTTTTAAAAGTATAAAAATATATTAAACTAAAATACCGATTTACAAAGAAAAACTACAATTATATGAAATCTCTTCTTGTATTTATAAAAAAAAAAAAAACATGTTACTCGATATACTATAGGAGCACTCACCGGAAAGCGTTGACTACCAAGAAGTATGTATGCACAATAACTAAATACTATCTCCGCCGATATAAGATGAATGATTACAAATACATATAGGTTTTATTATTCACCAGAAATGACAATAATCGTCTTCCGCAACCTCTTTATCAGATCCTATAATCCCATAATTATTTGCTCTGTGACTCGCATTGCTAGGTGTTTAGCCCCTTTAGCCAGTTTCATTGCAAATTTCTTAATTTGTATAAAAGTTTTAATTGATTATTTTAACAAAACATGTATGCTTTATTTACATATTATTATATATGGAAATCTTCATTGAAACTTGTACGGCTATAAAGCGTCCTATTCGCAGCCTCATTCTTCTTGCACAAGCGGCAATGGCCACGTTTATAGACTGCCATTCCAGCTAAAATAATAGGTATTGCCAAAAGAATGGCAATGATAATGCCAATCCAGACAAGACTGCTACCCTGTGTTGCTGACTCAAAGTCCCCATTTACAATTTTTAGGACCTCCACGCCTTTTAGCTCCTCTGGGTATTCACACTTAACATTCTTTGCTAAAAGTGGCGTGGTACTGTTGACTCTTGGAATTAAGTATTTGATCATATATTCGTTGGAGGTATGGCAGTCCCATGGGTTGAAGCGTAGATCCAGCACGCTAAGCTTATCCCAGCGAACTAAAAATTCTCTTGGCAGCGTTGTTAGATTACAGTTATTTAGGTATAGCTGAAATATGTCATAAATAAACAGATGTCAGAAATAAACATAAATAAGAGGATCTCATTTTACCTTATCAAGCGGGGGGTAGTCTAAGAAGTCTCCTCCAGTAACATTCTTTGACAGAGCGTGTAAATCGAGTTCTGTTAACATTTTGTTGTCACTCAGTATCAATTCTGTTAGATCTGTAAAAAATATAAGAAAAGTTATATATGCATATGATTTAGCAAGCTATCGGTTTAAATATACTTACTTTGTAGTTCGCTGAAAGCACCAGGTCCAATTTTGTATATATCTTGCATATATGCCATTCTCAAATATTTCAAAGAAGTCATTGCTGGGAAAACACTAAAAACAAAAATAGGAATATGTCCCGAATTATATTAAATTTTAAGTTAATTTTCCTTACTTTTCTCCCTCCAAGTTTCCAATAGGATTCTCATCTAAGACAAGTCGCTTTAAGTTCTTGGAGAACGATAACGCTTTTGGCACTTGTTTGAACAAGTTTCCTGATAGTATCAGAGTATCAAGATCTCGGGGTCCATGAAAAATGGTGTCGGGCAAGGTCGAAAGTTCCATAAATGACATATCCAAAACCTGAACGTTTTAATTAATTAATCAACATATTTAAAGTGACTTAGCAATAATTAAGTACTTACCTTCAATGAAGACAATCCAGCAACTGCAGTTTCCGTCAGCCTATCGATCACTTGAAAAGTATTTGAAGACAAACTAAGCTCTTCAAGGTATGGGAGATGTTCAAACAAATCATCATTCAAAGAATGTATGAGGTTGTATCCCAAGTTAAGTGATTTTAAGTTTTTCAGAGGCTCAAAATCCTGTTGGGAATATGGACCTTTGAATACATCAGGTACTAAAGTTTTTGAAGTTAATTTGTTATTGGACAAATCAAGTTTGGTAAGCTCCGTTAAATTTTGAAAGGCTCCCAATGTAATTGAAGCTATTTGATTATAACCCAAATACAGATTCTTCACTCCATACGCTGGCAAGGCAGGAATAGTTGTCAAATTGTTGTGCTCCATTTTGATGGACTCGAAAACAATTGTCTGATTTTGAAGGCTCTTCCATTCTTCGTCCGTAAACCAGTCAGTCAATTTGTTGGTGCAATCAATTAGACTGTTTTCTACATCGCATACGCATTTTGTGCATATCGCACTTGTGTTTTGTTTAGCGCTTGGCTGAAATAGAGAAATAGATAGCACATGAATATTGGAAATTGTAAATAGTTTCAATTTACGTTATTACAAAAGTCAACTGAAGCTTCGGTTTAGTGACGGCATATAAAATTTTAATTAGGTATTTCAATTTGTAACCGAATAATTCCCATCGAACTGAAAATAATCGATGATTCAAATGTACATAAATGCGTTCCACATAAAGTCCTAAAATCCAAATCTTAACACAAACGGACAAGCAGAGACCAAAAGATAACATACAATTCCAAAGTTATTCATTCTCTTTTCATAGTATTCAGTTGATTCGTGCTATGAGTCATTCTGGGGAAATAGTTATTAGCTGATTAAAATTCGTATAATGTATATTTATTTAATTTATGTCAATTTTATTTAAAAATATGTGTATATGTATGTACATACATGTGTACATACGCTTATACAAATCGTCTTAAAGAAACTTACATATATATGTATGTAAATTGTGTACATATATTCGTATGTATGTATGCATGTGTTTTTGATACTACTCACCTCTGTTTTTGTTTCTTCACTTTTAACTGCGGAGTCTGTGATGCCTAGTGGCATTAGCGCACAGATCGTTGTTACGATAAAAATGGTAGCTCCAGCTATATTCATTCTAAATTGTATTCTTGACTCCGTTTATTTGCTAAATTATATGCGCACCGAGAAAAAACTAACTAACAAGTAAAGGTTTCTTTTCGGGGCTTATTCCCTGTTAACTGTTATCTAATCTTATCAGTCTTTGGGCGTAAATGTCATAATCAGACAGTATCAGCAAACAGCCATGACGCGTTTGGACGTTAAATGGTTCATTTCGAATACTTTGAGAATTTAAAGGTATATACATATGTATTTATGCAAGTACCCCAAATTGGTTGCACTCAAAACATGCTTTAGCAGTCTGATAAAAATGTTTAGGTAACTGCAACTTCATAGGAAAGGTCAATAAAGTAAAGACAGTATTTTGACATAATAAAGTCATAATTTCAAGTTTAGTTACATTTAATAACTGGTGATCGTGTTTGCTTTTAGCAATTCGCTAAACTGAGTTTCAAATCAATTCTTCTGTCTTTGCCTAATGAACGACGCTCTTGCCATTTATGGATTTCTACTTACTTTTTTCTGAAAGAAATAAATAATTGTGAATGAATATCCCGCTTTTAGAATTTTAAAATCTCTACATTTTCGGAAAAGTGTATTTTATTGCAATTAATAAATTGCTTTCCATGTCGGCATTTTACGTAACTCAGAAATATACAGTTTATAGTCACATATATTTATTTCTTTAAACGTAGAGAAATACGAATTAGACTAATCGAAATTAAAATATTTATTGAATCAATGCAAAAGAAATTTACAGTTTTGTTATTATATTTGAAAATCTCTGTAGAATGTATTCTGCTTCGGGGTGAATTGCATTTAGTGACGTACCAATAACTATCGGCTAGGTACAGTACGAAATGATACACATCACTGAAAGGTTGATGTAAATGAGTAAGCGGCTCGATAAAAGCGAAGGCAACCCTTGAAATAGAATGTTGAATATTATTATTCTGTTTTAATTGTCTGCAGTTAATAATTTTTAAACTATACACATAAAATGAGCGACGAATCAGCTGAAAATATAATCTGGACCATAAAAAATGGAGAATTAGATGCCGTTCAAACAGCGTTTAGCAATGATGTGAGTAATAATACATGACTAGCTTTTTTCGACTAATTAATATTATTTGCAGACTCAGAAAGTTAATACAGAGATCAAAGGAAGATATCCAATACATTACGCGGCTGATTTCGGCCAGCTGAATGTACTCCAGTTCTTGGTTAAATTGGGAGCTGATGTAAACGTAAGCTGGTCTTAACTCACTGTATTAAATGTATACGTGCATACATACATACGTGATTATGGAGATGTATTCACCCATACATATGTACTTAGTTTCGTATCTACACAACCACTTTTAAGCTGCTATATACATATACATATATACGTACATTGATTTGAGATTAGTGATGAAACTTTATCTACAAGTATTAAAAATTTATATCCTGAATATCAAAATGGCAGAAAACTTAAGCAAAAGTGAACAAACTGAGTCTTGACACAGACTGAACTAGAGTAAACTTTTTCAAAATATCCTGAATATCAAAATGGCAGAAAACTTAAGCAAAAGTGAACAAATCGAGTCTTGACACAGACTGAACTAGAGTAAACTTTTTCAACGGAGAAAAGGTCTGCATTCGTACCATTTAATTTCGTATTTCCACGGCTCGGTATTTTTTGGATCGCGAATACAGAATATGGTACAAAACTGCCAGCTCTGAAACTAAATGAACATACATATCCTCATATGAAACGCCGGTCTATGCTTTTTTATTCCCTCCCTCTCACACACACAATGATGTATCTTCAGAGATCGACGCGTTCTAACATACTGACAGACGGACGGACGGACAGACAGACAGACAGACGGACGGACAGGGCTAAGTCAACCCAGCTCGTCGCCCTGATTAAGGATATATATATTTTGTGGGGTCTGAAAATGGATTCAGGGTATACAAACATTTTTAATCTCGGAACCCTATGCCATTATTTTTTTAAGATAAAGAAAATACGTCTTTCAATTATAGTGGTACTATAAATTATAGGAAAAGATTATTATAAAGGCAAACGAATAGTAACATTTAATGGTAAAATTTTTAATACCAAATAATAAAGAAATGTGCCAGATATAAATAAAGTAAGCTTATATTTCTAACGATATTTACGATAATTATACATATGTACCTATCGAATTAACGTGGTACTGAATTGCTCCCTAAGGAATGTATAAATGGAGGAAACAGCTTCAATTTATATATTGTTGTGCCATACGAAAATATGATTGTAAATAGAAAAATTTGCCATTTTGTAATAATATAAATGTTCACTTTTAACAGAGAAAAGACAAACATGGAATAACTCCACTTCTGGCCGCTGTCTGGGAGGGCCACACGAAATGCGTGGAGTTTCTTTTGAAAAAGGTATACTGACTTAATGAACATTTGTTGCTTTGCTTTTGAAAGCAATAATATTTTCACTTACTTTCTAGGGTGCAGATAAAAATGGAGTAACCCCAGACGGCCAGAGTTATATTGAAGTGGCAGAAAATGACGATATCAAGAAATTGCTTGTATGAAAATAATTGTAAATCATTTTATATCAGTATATATACATATATCACAATTACAGTTTTTAAATACATTAAAAATTAAATTATTTAATTACACTGTTTGTTTTACTTTTGGGTGATCGTCGGTGCTCAAAGTCTGCTTTGAAAATCATCAACAACTTTGGTTTGGGTATATTGCAACTATTATTTTTATTGTGATAGTTAACTTGGTCATAATAATACGAAATTCAAATCGAAATAAAACAGGAACGCGTGGTGAGAGGCAATCTATCATATGCTTTACCCCGATAAACTGCTCTAGGTGACTACTGACTACGGAATCTTTTGCCTTATCGCTTCGTATTCATTGGAAAGACATAGGCTTTAAACTTTAAAAAGCTAGCGAGACTTGTCATCTAGCCGAAATATCAATTAATTTTTATTATAGATTTAAAATAGTAGTAATATGTTTTATTATGCCTACTTGTTCATCAGATTTTTAAAGACTTGATTGGTTTGAAACTTTGAACTAAGAGCTTGAAATACGTATGTAAATTAAAAATCGAATAACCCAGCTTGAATCTGCTGCGATCATTTTCTGAAATCGAAAATAGTTGATTTCGGAAAAAGTTTTGGATTAAAACATTTAGAAAAAAATCATTTTGCAATATAATCTGTATTTGCTTCTTGTAGTTTATTTGCTATGTAAACAAAATGTAAACGAAGGCAAACTCGAGAAAAGTAATATTTAAATTTAAATTGGATCTGTGACAGTTCATCTTATATATAGAAACAATTTAAAATCATGACAAATGGAATTTTTGTTCCATTCCACAGTGTCCGCATGTTTTGAAAAGCAGTGAGTATTTTATAGTTACTTCTGCCAAAGCCATACAATTGCAACTCTGTCTTTTTTCTGCCTCCATTTCCTGCCAATAGCACGTTTGTAAAACTCTTTCCTGTCGTACTTTTGCCAGACCAAGGTGGGTGAAATTTTGAAAATTTGTATTTTTACATAGTATTCTTAAGTAAAGTGATTTTCTGATTATAAATATAAGTAAGAATAATAGTATCTAGTTTCTTGCTATCAATTATTGTTCGAAACACGTCAGTTTGAATTCTAAACGTACAAATGGAATTATCATTGTGAAACTAGAATTATGTGTGCATTGTTTTATCGGCTAAAAAGAAACATTCGTGTATATGTATCTACATTGTGAATGCGTTTACCTTTTATATTTATGTTATACAGTGCATGAAATACGAACGGAAATAATGCAAAAGATGAGCAGTTTGTGCTATATTCTTGTGACTTTCTCATTAGAATATACACGTGCTCTTTTCATTTATTTGTTCATATTCATGTATAACTTAATAAGTGAAAAAATGAAAGGTGAGTGGATTGTGGTCAATATGACATCTGTGGATTATCCGAAAATACATAATTATGTATTCGTAATATATACATACATAATGTAGTTGCATATACGATGAAACATTATTTAATTCAGACAATTCACAGTGCCATATTTTCCTCAATTGTTTTATGTTATTAATAAATTTAACGTTGCAGGTCTGCAGAAGACAAATTCAACATGCCTCAAAATGAGTATATGGAGCGTCACCGCAAATTATATGGTCGACGACTCGACTATGAAGAACGCAAACGCAAGAAGGAAGCCCGTCTTCCGAAGGAGCGTGCTCGTAAAGCTCAAAAGTTGCGTGGCATTAAAGCCAAGTTGTTCAATAAGGAGAGGCGTAATGAAAAGATTCAAATGAAGAAGAAGATTCAGGCGCATGAGGAAAAGAAGGTCAAGAAACAGGAAGAAAAGGTCGAGGATGGCGCTCTACCACATTATCTTCTTGACAGAGGTATCCAGTCGAATGCCAAGGTTTTGTCGAATATGATAAAACAAAAACGTAAAGAAAAGGCTGGCAAATGGGATGTACCTATACCAAAAGTGCGTGCGCAATCCGACGCTGAAGTATTCAAAGTCCTAAAAACGGGCAAAACCAAGAGGAAGGCCTGGAAGCGCATGGTGACGAAAGTTACGTTTGTTGGTGAAAACTTCACACGCAAACCGCCGAAATTTGAACGCTTCATCCGACCGATGGCATTGCGTATGAAGAAGGCGCATGTTACACACCCTGAACTGAAAGCAACTTTCCACTTACCAATCATTGGAGTTAAAAAGAATCCAAGCTCTCCAATGTTTACCTCCTTGGGCGTCATAACCAAGGGTACTGTAATAGAAGTAAACATCTCTGAATTAGGCTTAGTAACCCAAACTGGAAAAGTTGTTTGGGGCAAATATGCACAAGTTACGAACAATCCAGAGAACGATGGAGTTATAAATGCTGTACTTCTAGTTTAATATGTTAGTGGATAGAAATTGCCTTCGATTCGGTCAATAAAATAAAAATAGCGCTAAAATACAGACTTTAAAAATGTGTTTACTTTTCTTTACCCTAAGTAAAATATAAATATATTGTCTTAAATTAATGTTTTAACTTGCATTAACTCGTGTTTTCTTCGAAATTTTTCAGTTGGCTTCGGAGGTGCACAATGCAGATCTTTGTTAAAACCCTAACGGGTAAGACCATCACTCTTGAGGTCGAACCGTCGGATACCATCGAGAATGTCAAAGCCAAGATCCAGGACAAAGAAGGAATTCCTCCAGATCAGCAGCGTCTAATCTTTGCTGGCAAGCAATTGGAAGATGGTCGCACTCTTTCCGACTACAACATCCAAAAAGAGTCAACCTTGCACTTGGTGCTCCGCCTTCGTGGTGGTGCCAAGAAACGCAAGAAGAAGAACTACTCTACCCCCAAGAAAATTAAGCACAAGAGGAAGAAGGTCAAGCTAGCTGTCCTTAAATACTACAAGGTACATCTTCCATAACAGAATGAAACAGAATAATTCTATGATCTGTTCTTGGAATTCTTGAGTCTTGGTCTTGAGCTTATTGACTTGTCTGTTAAGTTTTTAAGTGACAATTCAATCTAAACTATCTGTTTTCCCAATGAGAATATGAGTATATATATCTTGTGACATGTCCGCTCATGAAAGAGGCTAACATTTGTTGCTTACAGACTGAAGAGGTCTTGTAATATATCGTTCTAATGCTATTTGTTTGGTTGCAGGTTGACGAGAATGGAAAGATCCATCGCCTGAGACGCGAGTGTCCCGGAGATAACTGTGGTGCTGGAGTCTTCATGGCTGCCCACGAGGATCGTCATTACTGTGGCAAATGCAACTTGACTTTTGTGTTCAGCAAGCCAGAAGAGAAGTAGTGCGCAGGCGCTTTTTTATCAGGCATTCATTTTTGCTGTAATTAAGTGAATAAATATGAACTAATATAAGCCTGAAGCACTTCTTTTTATTAAATTGTTTAATCTCTAATGTAAAGCTTTACAAATATCTTTAAAAGCTTTAATATCTCTCAAGAGATTTATAAGATTTAATATCTCCCTATAAACAAATTCACTTTTCTTATAATTTTTAAAATTTTTATTTTTATTCTATCTACGATATAAATCAAGGGGTTAAATCATATAAAAATTTAAAAATCTTGGATTATATATTTCCTGTATTTTATATGATAAATGCAAAAGATTATAAAAGTGACGAACGATTCGAACATTAAATATCGTTTCCAATTTAATAGACAGGATTATTCTTAAATAAGAAAATCATAACGGCATATATACTGATGAATTATAAATTGATGACATCGATGTTTAGGCTTCTATACATAAATGTAAGAATATCTGTTGCCTCCTCGATGCGTTTCGATGTTGGTTTGCCAGCACCGTGTCCAGCTTTTTTGTATACGCGCAGTAGCAATGGATTTTTCTGGAATGGAGAATCGCGAACAGCTTCTTGCAATGCAGCAGCAAACTTTAAGGAGTGCAATGGACTGACACGATCATCATGATCAGCCGTCAAAATCAGTGTAGATGGGTACTCGCTCGACGCATCATTTGGTGTATGGACATTGTGCAACGGCGACAACTTGTAAAGATTATCAAAGTGTTCCTTCTCAGAGGGATTTCCATAGTCTGAGCACCAGGCATGGCCAATAGTAAACTTGTGAAATCGCAGCATATCCATGACACTGTTGTTAAATAAATGTTGTTGAATCAGTTAAAAGTAGATTACATATCTCTTACTATATTTGTATGTATATTTCTTTTTACTTAGTGTTAGTAAACAAAATCTCCTATTTATTATGGGATAGCAGCATCCCAATAAATAGCTCTAATATTGTAATTTACTCACCCGACTTGAGCAACTGCTGCTCCAAACAAATCAGGACGCTGATTAATACAAGCACCAACTAGGAGACCGCCATTGGATCCACCCTGAATTGCCAATCGATCCTTTGTGGTATAATTGTTTTTAATCAAATATTCGGCAGCGCACTGAAAGTCGTCAAACACGTTTTGTTTGTTGAGCAAGCGCCCGCCGTTATGCCATTTTTCGCCATATTCTCCGCCGCCACGGATGTTAGGATAGGCCAAGACGCCATCAAATGTATCTACAAACATAAGACTGTTTTTCGAAGGAATATAAAAATGCAACTACTCGTATTTACATAATATATATATTGTATCTATATATATACTCACCCCGTAAGTCCAAATGTTGGAAGCATGCTAATATTAAAGCCGCCATAGCCGTAAAGCAGACATGGGCGTGGCTGTACAGTATCGGCCTTCTTTCGTATAATAAACATTGGCACCTTGGTGCCATCTTTGCTTGAATAAAATATTTGCTCAACGATGTAATTATCCCGATTGAAACCATCCAAGTTCAGATTGATGTCGCGAAAGACTTTTGGTGGCTGATCCGGATATTTAAAGTCATAATGATAAATGGTTCCTGGATTTAAAAACGATGAAAAATTATAGAAAATTTCCGAATATTTAGTTTTTCCTGATGTTCCGACAATGGTGCCAATATCTAAATCAAATTGTCGTATCAATTCTCCAGTTCGAAGTGAATTCGCTTGTAAAATTGTCTAAGAACAGAAAAGTTACTTTGAGTACAATTGAAATACATATTTTCTAAAAAAATTTGGCTTACTTTTACGTCCCTGATATAACAAAGAAGAATCTTATCTTCATTGACACATTTTACCCAATCCAGAACGTCCTTCTCATGTTCAGGTATAAGGGTTTCCCAGTTCTCCTCGGCCGGATTTTCAAAATCAATAATTATGACACGATAATTCGGAGCATTCTTGTTTGTGCGGAAATAAACCTTGGAGCCAACATTAGTGACATACTGGAAAAACAATAAAATGGAAATGTGGAAGAAAAATGGAAATATGAAAGACCCAATGGAGGAATCTTCAAATTTTAAATGGGTATTTACTCACATCGTAGTCTGACTCAAATTTATCGACAATGATTTTAACATCCAGTTCAGATTTTATTTCTTCTCCAGGCTTAAGATCGGCATAGTATATTATATTATCACGACAGTCTTTAACGATGGCCAATACTAAGTATTTTCCACAATCAGAGACAACAGATTGACTAAATGGGAAAAAAAATGAAATATATATGTATTCGTATTGTGCAATTTTAGGTGTTATTATGCATACAAGCGCCATGATGGCTCATTATTGAACTGAACAACTAGCACATCCTTTGCCTGACTTTCTCCGATGCGATGATAGTAAAGCTTTTGGTTTTGATTTTGTTGGGTCTCGGAACCATCAGTTTTGCCATCTTGGTCAGGATATCTCTATTGAATGAAGATATTAATGTTAATTTATATGTAATGATGTACATTTTACATACTCCATAAAAGAATCCTTTATTATCCTTTGTCCAAGATATTTCCGAAAATTTCACCTTTTCAAGCACCTCGTCGAAGTCTTTACCGGTCTCGGCGTTACGTATACGAATCTTAATCCAATCTGATCCACTTTCACTAAGCCCATAAGCCATAAATTTTCCGTCGTCGGAAAACGACTTCTGGGATAGAGCAATTGTACCATCTTCAGATAAACTGTTGGGGTCTAGAAAGACTTTACTTTCGCCATTCAAAGAAGCTTGCTGATACATAACACTGCAAAAAGAATTATATTACAATGTGTACACGGCTTATATGATTATGTAAAGCATTGTTACCTTTGATTTTGTAGACCGGTGTTCATGAAATAATAATAATAATCGCCATACTTCATCGGGCATCCATATTTTGGATAGTTCCATAGTTTCGTTAGTTTATTATTTATTTTCTTCCACTCCGGACAACTTTCAAGGAACGGCTGGCTAATATTATTTTGGCTATCAACATATGCCTGCGTTTCAGGAGAATCGGGGTCCTCAAGCCAGCGGTAAGCATCAATTATTTTTGTGCCATGAAAGTCGTCCACAATTGACAAGTCTTTGCGAACAACAGGATATACAAATTTTTCCACAATTGGCTTTGAAGACTTTTGAACGTTAGTTGCCATGCCGACTTTTGCAATGTTATCTGTATGAGTTAGTCAATTGTATATATGTATTTCAATTATCCACGTAATAAAAGTTTTAATTGTGAAATTTACACATACGTATCTTTGCGTATCCAAAGTATAATGCACGGACAAGAATTTTGCACTGACGTTGATGTGGAAAATATCGCATTGTAATAGGTTGTATAGAGATGTGCACATTCAATAAAAGCGACTACAACATTCTCAAATACATATCGATATTAATTGAATTAAGGACTAAGCGTTCCCTTGTGAAATTCACAGCCAACAATGAATTTTAAATTTATATACTGTAAGTATATTTCATTTCCAAGTTTGACATATGTATTTGGTTGACAATATTCAAAACAAATAGTTCCTGAAAAAATAAAACATAAAAGGACAGCAGTGTAACATCGAAATCACGTAACGTCACATTTTTTTTAGCTATACCTTTAATTATCGCTCTTTATTATAAATATCGTTTTTGCATTTGGGCGCCAATTTGGTTATCCATCTAGCAAGCAGAATTTTTATATGTATGTATGAATTCCATGTACATATGTATATATGCTATTATATGGAGTATACACCACTAGCAATTATTTGACTCTGTAATATATTGCAAATTTGGCACAGCTCAGCAAATAGCTTAAAAACTGATGAAGTATGCTATGGTACGAAACAAATCAAAACAAAAAGATTGAGTGCGTACATATAGTTTTCATACAGTAGTTTTTATAAAAAGAGGAAACTATGATAACTAACAATTTCATATAATTACAATAATTTAGTAAATTATAATATACAAATCGAGGTTAAATAGAATGTTATTCAATTCTCAACACTAAAGAATAACAATGGTAACAAAACATACAATATTTAATTTTCTAAACTTAAATTTTATAAGCACAGCTCAAAAATTCAGCAACTAATGTAAAGTTGTGTGAGACCTTTGAAACTCAACTGAATTAGGTTGAGCCGTTGAAGTGTCTGGTCGAGCTTGACCTGTTGATATTATTGTCTCCATACGTTGGGTTGTGTCACGCATAACGCCGCTAAAATCTGATAAATCTGGAAGATCTAAAGCAAGGTGTGCTGAAAATCGTTTATATACAGAGTTCTTTATGCTGTCCTTTTTTGTTTTCTTCCGGTTTTCTTTATACTTTAGCTGTTGTTTTAAAAATATTGAAGTCTTCATGATTTCTTGTATATTACAAAAAGTGCTTTCCGATTTTTCTATAGATTTTAGTGCTTGCACACCATATTCCATGTCGAAGCAATGCCCTTGCAAGTTGCTTTGTAGACTAAGAACTTCGGTTCGTTTCTCTAGGATTGCAGGCAGCACCTTGCGAATGTGTTCCTGGAATACAAAATTAATGCAATGTAATTTGTCTAAAATAGAACAGAAAAACCAACCTGAATTCGAAAGAACGCTAAGGACGGATCGTTGGCGAATATGTGTACATTTTCTGAAATTTTTTCCGAGGCTAAAAGAAAATAATAAAGAAGAAAAAGCATATGTTTATGTTAAAATAAAATCATCTTTTATATTCATCTTATTGAAATTTACTTTTTCTTCCTTTAAAGTTTAGATCACTTCCTTGCGCCATTCCTCTCGACTGCCTATTTCTTTGTTATTGCCCCCTATATTATTATTATTATTATTGTCTCTTTGATTAGTTATTACTTTTATGTAAAGAAAATTTCATAAACTGTCAATGTATAGAAAAGTAATAACACAGGAGTATTGTTTTACTATTCCTTTTTTCTCTGATTTCCAGGTCTGGATGCACTTCCTTAGTAGAACTAGCTCGTTTTAATCATAACAAATTCACTAGAACGAATCAATATTGTAAGCTAGAGATGCTCCATTTACATAGATTCGATATTTGTTTTTGTAAATATCGTCTACTTCAATATATCGCATTTTATTTAATTTACTACATTCTGACATTAGTCAATACAAAAACTTTATTTCAGCTAGTTTTAGTAGTAAAATATACTCGAGAATTGAATGTATTGCTATAGATATGATATGGAAAAATTTTTATTATTCGCGTGAGTTATGTAAACGCAAAAGTCAAAAAGATTGAATAGCAATAAATATGATTTTTTATAGAAGTTGTAAAACTGTTTCGTTTTTGCCGATATGCTTTTGCTTTTATGTGAAAAATGAATACCTTTGCTGGAGGTAGCATAACAATTTCTGACGAATATCGAAATATCGTTCATCCCAAATGTCATCAGCTGTTCGCAGCTGTGGAGTATTTCTATGTACATATATTGAAGAGTATGTAAGAAAGTAAACAAGGACGGATCTGAAAAAAAGATTTTAATATATTTGTGAATTTCAAAGCAGCGAATGCAAATATTTATTTTATTGGTACGATACATTTTCATTAAGAAATTCATATTTTTACGATTATTATTTAAGCTAAGAAGCCATTTGTAAACATCAGGTGTCAAAAAATTTTAAAACAGGTTTTTTATATTTAATTGTAAGTATCATATGTGAGTGTCTACACATATGTATATATTAATATATTATTAATTTTTATGTGTGCGTAGTTAAACTTTTTGAATGTATATATATACATATATATAAATATAAAAAATAACACACGCAGCTGCATGCCAATAATTTTATGTCATACCCTGATCGTCTGCTTTTTTTTGTTTTTGTTTTTGACAGTTGAAAATATAAGCTACAGTAATTTTCTAAAGTTAACTATAAGTTGTGCTTTTAAACGTAGTTCGACTTATTAAGGTAATTATTGTAATTATTTATTGCAAAGCACAACGAAATTGATGCTCTGGATGCTGGAATGCTGTAGATGATCATTTCATTTCTTATTGTTTGTACAATAATTATTATTATTATTATTATTATTTTTTTTATTTATTTTTTTTTGCAATTTTTGAATTGTATTAGGATGAAATATCACACATGTACTTATACATTAATTAGTAATATTTATAAATTTACTAAGGTGATTTCAGGCACTAAGATCAAGAATAATCTTTCGCTAGTTTATTAGTCCTAATTCGGTGGACAGAAAGAGATAGAATGCTGTTCGTGCTATACTTGAAGCTTTCTGAAAAGCAAAATCATTAAAGTGCCGAATATCCATGTACAAGAATGGCCCAGGTCATTTCTGAGTACAGCAATAAATTCGGTCGATATGTGAGTTCTCTTTTAAGTTATCTCTTAAACATTTAGCTTCTAAGATGTGGAAAATTGAAGATGAGCATGCTTGTTATCGTCGGCCAACTATTATTCTGCGCTGATGTCAGCGCACATTCAAGCACATAGCTGGTTTCCCTCAGCTCACCATGACAATAAAGAATCGTTTCTACAGCGCTAGGACTTTGTTTATAGTCACTTCTTATATATTTCTGACGCTTTTGCTGCTGACAGCTGGTTTGATTGCATTTGATAAAGAGGTTTAACTGGTTTTCCACCAGCTGTCTTCTTCGAAAAGGGCCGAAGACCAGTACTATTGCCATTGACAGATTTCACTTGCATAATTTTTCTCATATTTGATCTGTAAGCAGAAGTTTCTGTAGTAATTGGTAACTTACAACTGTAACATTTGATATAAATTTAAGTATTTAATATGTTTCAACAGTATTATTTCTTTTTAAGTTTATTAATTCAACATGGCTACGGATGGAGAAATTGACAAGGATTGCCTAGTTCGAGTGGCAGTGCGGTAAGTTAAACTTTATTTATATATTGAAATCCTGACGACAAACGACTTTATTGCTGATATTTATATAAAGAAAACTAGACAAATGAGAGTATAAGAGATTGTTCTCAAATTTCACAGAATTCGTCCACAAAATTCAAGAGAGATCATTGACATGTGTCGGATATGTACCACAGTAACACCTGGTGAGCAGCAAATAGTTCTAGGATCTGATAAGGCGTTTACTTTTGATTATGTTTATAATGTGGACTCTAATCAGGTAAATTACCAGCACCATATAGAAATATATATATATATATATATATATATATATATATATATGCTTTCTACATATATTTTACCAATTCGTAGAGTGATATATATGATGAATGCGTTAAGCGCTTGGTTGAAGGAACTTTACATGGATATAATGCTACAGTCCTTGCGTACGGCCAAACCGGCTCTGGCAAGACCTATACAATGGGAACTGGATTTGATCACACTTCTGGGGACTATCAACTGGGCATAATACCCCGCGCGATACGACATATATTCGCTGGCATCGAAAAGTTGCAGCATCCAGAAGACAGTGATACCTCCGCCACAAATTCGCAGTTCAGCGTGGCTGTTCAGTTTATAGAATTGTATAATGAAGACATTATTGATTTACTGGATCCTTTTAACAAGAATTCTACTTTCAAAATACATGAAAGTGCAAATGGGCAAATAACTGTGGCAGGTGCTACTATTAAGCCAATCAACGAGCCCCAAGATGCTTTAAAGTGAGTTGTGTTTTAGTTTTATCAAGTTATTTTATTAGATACATTTGTAAAATCATTGCAAACCCTAGAGCGTCATTGGATTAATATTCAAATATCTCATTTAATAAAAGTTTGTAATTTTAAGCTAAGCTCGGCTTGGTTAAGTAATCTGCGAGGCTACAGGTGAGCATTTCTGGTATATATGTAGGTCTTTTATTCGAGAGAGAACTGCATAGTTTTACCAATTGCTACTGGAGACAAATTTCTTGTACTTTTCTGAGAATATTATTTAGTTAACGCAATATTATTAATTTTCATATTCAATGCATTTAGCTTCATTGCGTATTCATTTTAACCTTATACATATTTTTTATCGCAAGTTAAATGTCGAATATATGTACATATGTATATGAATTTATATGTAATTCATTATCACACATTATTTCAGATTGCTACAGCAAGGCGCTTTAGCGCGAACGACAGCTTCAACTAAAATGAATGATCTATCATCACGATCGCATGCAGTGTTTACGTTATTTGTACGCAGGCAACATATAATCGAGCCGAAAATTGATTTTAGCGATAGTGACTTTGAGACTTTGACGTCTAAATTCCATTTTGTTGATTTGGCTGGTTCGGAGCGTTTGAAACGAACCTTGGCGACGGGAGATCGTGCTCGCGAGGGTATATCAATTAATTGTGGACTACTAGCACTGGGCAATTGCATTTCAGCGTTAGGCGATAAATCGAAGAAAGTCTCACATGTACCATATCGAGACTCGAAGCTAACGCGTCTTCTTCAAGATTCTCTAGGTGGCAATAGTCAAACCTTAATGATTGCTTGCATCTCACCAAGTGATCGTGACTTTATGGAAACATTGAATACACTAAAGTATGCAAATAGGGCTCGCAATATCAAAAACAAAGTTCAGATCAATCAGGATCAAAGCTCTCGAACTATATCGTTACTCCGAAGAGAAGTCGCTGCCTTGCAATTGGAGCTTTTGGAGTATAAGCAGGTATAATGAAAATATAATAATAATTTTTAAACAGATCGAAATGGCATCTATGAATACTCCCTTTTCCATATATCTTACAGGGCAAACGTGTATTGGATTCGCAAGGAAATACCTTAATATCAGATACATATTATGAAAATTCCATGCTGTTGGACGATAATAAACGTTTACAACAGCGCATAAAATCAATGCACGAGACCATCAATATATTAATTGATCGCAATGCTAAGCTCAAACTGGAGAAGCAAATGCATGAATGGTCAAAAGATACTAACTCCGATATGTCAGTCACAAACTTGGTTGAAAACTATTTGACCGAGATCGAAAAATTGCAGGCCAAACTTGTAGAATCGGAAGAGATGTGTCAACAATTGAAGAAACTTAATTCCACGGGAACTTCACCGAGAGTTAACAAAACGATATATGAAGGTTAGAAATGGGATATGCAGCGGAAATTTCAATATTTAATATACAATATTTTCGCAGATCCCAACGTTATCATCGACATAGCTAAGAGGGGCTTAGAGAAGGAAAGAGAATTGCTAATGTCGCGATCATTACCCGGAATAACAATCGAAGGCTCTCAAATGGCTGAGCTGGAGTCTTCAGATAGTGAAAGTGATTCGAATGGTAAAAATTAATAATATCACTATAAACAAATATTATTTTAATCTATAATCGACTTTCGCAGAGAAAGAAATGGAAGAAAATTTAAATGAAATCAATTCAGATATTGAAATAAAAACAAAATTAATTGAGCAGCTGGAATTGTCTCAAGAGCGGATGCAAGTTATGCGGCAACACTATGAAGAAAAACTTAATGTCCTAACATCTAAAATATTTAGCACGCAAAAGGAAAGAGATGAGGTGTTGGCGAATATGGGTAAGTATTTGGTTTTGTTTCCTAGTTTCTCTGAAGTGTTGCAAACAATATCCTAAATTCATATAAAATGAATAGAAAAGAAATCGACATTGATTTATTTTGTCTTATTATTTTCCTCAAACGTGGTATACGAACATTGCTTTATTTTCTTAGCATCGTCTATGGTTAGTCAACCGAAAGATAATGTAAAAGCAGTTAAAATGGAGTATGAACGTAAGCTAAATGATATGAATCGTGAACTGAAAAAACTGCAGCAGACACAAAAGGAACATATTCGACAGCAAAAGGAAATAAAAACACAAGAAATAAAGCTGCAAAATTTGCGAATGGAACTCAATGATCTAAAATGTAGTAAAGTAAGTAAACTTTAATTATTTTATGTTTGTTTAGATTATCGATATCATGTATTCGAATGGTTATATATCTCTATTCCATCTATTAATCTATTTTCTAAAATTATTAAATTTAATTGTTTTAGGTAAGGTTGATGAAAAAAATATCAGAACAAACAAGCCGACACCGAGAAGAAAACACAAGGAAGACGCAAGAAATTGCGCAATTACGAAAAGAACAGAGGCGACAGAAAAATGCAGTTATGACCTTGCAGGCCAAAATGAATGCAAAGGAACAAATTTTAAAACGGAAAACAGAGGAGGTATCCGCACTTCGCCGAAGCCAACGCAGTGGGAATGTACATCAAAGAGCGAACAGACAAACAGCGTCAAAAATCGAACAGGCACGAGCATTACACCATCGTTGGGAAACCTTGTCGCGTAGCGTAGTTCATTCTGCCAGAAACAAGCAGTTGATAAGTCAATTGGAAACGGAGCTGGAACGCCTTGTGAATGAGAGGGAGCAGCTATGCCGAGAGCTTAAAGCAATCCAAGATCCCCAACATATTGACAAGGCATCCGAGTACTCAAACGAAGAAGATAATTTAAAAACCAACATTAGCTATATACAAGAGAATATAGAGCATATACAAAAGGCTATCATGGAATTCGAAGATGTTAAGGATCCTGCAAACAGTGATTCAAATAAAATTCAACATATCTTAGACACAATAAGTTCAATTGAAGAGGCAAAATACTTACTGCAAAAGTTGTCTGACAATGCAATATTTATAACGTGCAATTCGTCAATGATCGAAAGCCGTTTGCAAGAGCATGAGGCGTTGCTTAAAGAGGCCCAGCATGAAAGTAGCATCCAGCAACAATTGCTGCAATATTTTTTGTCGAACAACACAAATGTGCAAATTTCGGATCTGTTTGAATCGATGAATATTGATGACAAGCTGCAGTTGAGCAATTTAAATCGAAGTTGTTCGCAGCATTCTTTAATCAGCAACGGAACATACGACATTCCCCGCACTACATCCCAAGACAGTCCTGTTTATACGATAGAACATCTACCCAAAAGTAGATGTTCGCCACCCAACACATCCATGGAAACGTAAGATATCTTTTTAAATTCTTTTCAAGTACTTTAAAATTATTTTGACGAAAATATTTAAAGTGTTAATGTAGTTATTTGAATTTAGATAGGAAAGGATTTTCCTTGTCTAGATCTCATAAATATATTATAGGTATAATCACTTGTTATTAACAGGGATCGTTGATAACACGTTATCTGCGAAGATGTCAGAAATGGTTAAGTCTGTTTTGTAGATTGATCCAGTTGATTTCAATAAATCGATCGAAACTGAAAATAGAAAATAGAGTTACTCGTAGCTTATGACTGGATCAAAACTCTTACCTTTTTTAAATTATTTCAAATAATTTGTTTAAAAAACAAACTTTATAAACTTTTTTTCATGATAAAAGAACAAATGAAGTCCATACGGTTCTATTAAATCAAAATGAAGTTTACTCAACAATCAACCAATCATTCGAAACAGTATGCGAGTTATCGGATTTTTAAAGAACAATTGAGAAATGTTAGTAATCAAGAAACCCCTTTTATTATTTTGTATTTATTTTTAACTATTAGCTCTTCCGACAAAAGCCCGAAAGTGCGTAGGCGAACAGCCATGCGTGATGATCTCCTTTTTGGGGAAAAAGGATTATCGAATCAAGTAAGTAACAAATTTCACAAATTTAAAAATCACTTTCATTGACTTTATAAACTATTCACTCAGTCACTTAGGCCACATCATTATGCGAAACGAACCATAAGTCTTCCAAGTGCATCGGAGTCTTCGTAATAAGTTCGTATACACAAAAAATAGCATATTTTTAATGAACTATTTATGTTTTTATGTATGAATGTAAAAAAGGTTTAATTTATGAAATAAAATAAAATATTGTTACTGTTGTCGATTTTCATTCCAAGCTGAGTAACCCAAATGACGAGTTTATGTCTATTTTCTACAGTGCACTGGATCTTGAGAATGGGGTTAACAAATCCGCGACTAAAATCTCCAATGGGTTATCTTCGAATCAAAATCGAAGAAAAAAACAGTTGTTTGTTGGAAAATCTTAGATATTTACAAACTTTATTTTACGAAATAACAATAGTATATTACTTATATAAACTTATCAATAAATTTTACGTTGTTAAATCAATGGAAACAATTCTAGCAGATGTGTTAAAGGATTGCAAACCTGCCATATTTTCAAAAGCAATAGTATCTGATTGATTTATTTCCGTCTTTTCTGAACTGGCACGCCACTCAGAAACAGTCACTAACCTCTTTGATAAATTACAATTTTCCTGATTGTGGGAGTGTGATAATGCGTTTGAGGGAACTAACGATTTTGCTGAACTATTGGCTCTTGGCTCAAGACTGAATGTGTTAAGTTCCGAGTTAGTCTTGTAATTGGAAAAAATATAAACCGATTGCTTAAGGGGTTTCAGCGAGTTGTCATCTGTTGTTTGTAAGTATTCGGGTAGAGGATTCCATTCAGTTTCCGTTGAATGATTCTTTTGGATGACAGCGATTTCTTTGTTATTTGTTAAGGACATTAACGCAAGCTTATTTGCTTTTGCTTTCTTTGAAGAGGAAATTGACTGATCATCTTCATCTGACGAACACAAATCAATTGTGTCGACGATCACCTCGCTGGATGGTGAAATCCTCCATTGGGAATTGAGTGAAGTATCGCGTGTTAATCTAATATTTAGCTTAGTATTATTTATAGGAAATTGCTCTCCGCTATTATCAGCCAGTTTTTTTAATCTGACCGAAATTGGACGGCATTTTTTAATCAATGGTGAATTCAAAAATAAAAAGTTTTGAGTAAGGTCCCTACGTTGTATAAACTGTCTTCGCGGGAAAGTATAGATGTGTGAACTAAAATATTGCAGTTTCTTAAACGTTACATGTATGTTATTTGTACAACTCTTTTTCTCAAAGATTTTATGATTACTATTTGATTTAACTAATAAGGGTGTATAACAAAAGCGATCTAAACGTTCCTGTCTTTCAAATACATATTCCATTGATATTGTCTGCTTTATTGACGACAACAATTTCTGTCCAGCGGGAGATGATATTGGTATAAATGAACATCTGTTAAGCGACGGGACTGCTCGATTCCTTCGCGATGATATGCGTCTTTTTCTGCTCGAAGTCATTGTCACCAATTCTTCGTTATTTGTGTTAGTTCTTTGTATTTTCTTAGAGTAATTGCAACTGGCCGTCTTAGACTGAAGACAAAAATTGAGAAGGAAAGCGTTTCGCAGCTCTGCGTTTTCATTTTTAATTTCAATTTTATTTTCCGGTTCGGGCGAATCGCATAAAATCACATCATCCTCCATAATACACATTTTTTCATGTTCCTGCATAAAGAAAAAGTTTAAGCTATGAAGTGATCAACATGGATATAGTTTTCACTTACCAAGATTGCTTCCTTGGAATATAATTCAGCATCACAGTTGTCACACAGATAAATGTCGAACGGCGGCGGCTCAACCATCATATAGTTTGAGTCTTCTCCTTGCAGGTCGGTCTTGTTTTTGTGTAGTAGCAAACATTTTCTATTTTTTTGCTGTCGATCATAAGACTGAAATTAAATAAATTGGAAGAATTTATAATTTGAAGCAGTAATGTATACTGTTAAATATATTGCCGAGTAGTTTTAATGACCGCAAGCACTATCGACTAAAGCACTCGTTTTCAAATCAATTAACTATAGCTTACCATATTTTCATTGCGAAATGTAACCAACAATTTATTATTTCGTCTGTCGTATAGCGATGTAGTGGAATTGTAGTTGTTGATAAACCTCAAGCTTGCGTGCTCATAAGCAGCTAAATCGTTACAAAACCGTAACAGAAATAAACTTTTATGAAATTTGTAACATATTACTACAATCTCCTTCATCTTTTTTATCCAGCTCTAAAATAAACAAAAATTGTTACAGCATAAATTTAGCATAAAGAATAATGTGGAACTTACTCCAACGAAGTTTTTTGGCTTCTTTAACGGAATGCCAAAGGATGCATTTTCCGGCCACCACTCGGGCTCGCTGCAGTCTATTTTTTTTGGTAGGTTTATATGTCCCAAAGAGCATTGCACCATGAATGGTATAAAATTCTCTAGTTGAGATTCAGTTATTTTCTCTAAAGATGTCGGATATCCATTTGCGAACAGCAGCGGAAGATTCGATATCATGTTTTGCTGCGACTTATCGGATTCGTCCATTGTGACTAAAATAAAAAAAGCAATCATCGGTATTTCAATTTAATGATTTTAAAATTGGATATTAAACAAGTAAGAACGTTGCAGTCGGGCGTTACCGACTGCGGAATACTCATTCACATCCCATCAGCAATTTAGTTAATTAAGTTTCGCTCTAACACTGTAGAAAAAGCAGTTTTTTCCGATTTGCCACGCCCCTACTGGGCGTAGACACCTCATTTTTGGTCAGTTCTTAGAACGAGATAACGGTACCCTAACTGCAAAGTTTGAATGCTTACTCTCAAAAAATGTGAAAATTACAGGGTATTTTTCGATATGCCAGAGTCGTAAAAATGATTTTTGGGTCATCAATATAGGAGGTTACTAGTAACTTAACTATCTAAATTTGAAGCTTCTAGCTATTATACTTTAGGAGATATAAATTTTTGAGGTTTGCCACGCCCCCTGGGGGCGGACATATACCCGATAAAACTTTTTGGTCTTGGGTGGTCAGCCCGAGTATATACACAAAATAGGTCTCTGGCATCAATAGTGTCTAAAATATAGCAGAATTATAAAAATCACTATATCTTCAGGTCCGATTTGCCACGCCCCTAATGGGCGTAGACATAAAATTTTGCCTTTAGACTTTATAGAACCATAACATTAGCTGATGTGCAAAATTTCAGTGCTCTAGCTGTAAAACTCTTGGAGATACAATTTTATCCGATTTGCCAGGCCCCCAATGGGCGTAGATATATCCGCCATAGCTCGTGATCTTGGGTGGTCGATGCGGATCTATATTCCAAATTTCAGCTTTCTAGCTCTTTAATTAATATGATTTCTGGCATATCGGAAAATGCATTTTCCGATTTGCCACGCCCCTAGTGGGCGGATCGGAAAAATTTTAACACTTTATAAATCGGAGATATACATGAGTATGTGGGACAGCAAGACGGACATTGCACAAAACCAATATACTAATTCACTTTCGTGAATGAGTATAAAAACTCCAAGTAAAAGTGGTGCAATATGTATATATGTATATAGAAGCGTCAACTCCGTTGATACAGGCTTCAATTGAAAGAATTTAATCAATGAATGAAAGGTGCAGTACCATGCAGTACAATGGAGAAACGGTGCTAGAAGATGGAGGAATCGAATGAGAGTATTTATTGTCGGGAAGAAAACATCAGTAGGAGATCCAACAATCTGAGCTTAAAGCTAGGAAATTCTCCAAACGATACTGCCTAAAGGCAGTAACTGAATAATGGCTCCAAAAGGACAAATCAATTAAAGAAAACTTGGATAATCGACTTTTAAGACTAACTAATCAATAGTCTGTTTATGGAATTAATTAATAATTCATCTAAAGATTAACTAATCCTTAGCTTGTTTATTAAGTTATTTAAAGTTCCATCCAAATCAGAAAAGAATATTCTAGTTTTCTTTGAATATTCCATTCTGATTTGGATAGAACTTAAAATATCTAAATAGATAAGGAAAATTATTAATAGGAAATCCATAGTCATTGGACTAATATTTCTTGGTTAGTACGTTAGAGGAGGTATAAACAAGTTAGAGAACTCTAGTCGAGACTGCTCGACTAGGAGATACCCTGAGGATATAATCTGATATTCTAATAAGTCTGCACTTCTTTTCGACACACATACATACACACGCACATTAGAACGCGCTCTGCTAACTGCGCAGTAAGCAGCGACTGCGCTTGGGCTGCGCTGTAGTGTGGGCAACATTATAAGAATGTATTTGTTGAATAATTTAATTTCTAGACGTACAATCTTAATGAAACTTCTAGGGCGTAATCATATGGTGAAAATGTATGTACATTCTAAGTCTCTAGTACTTGAAATACGCCTTTTACAAAGGTGAGGGTGAGGGGGTGGATATAGGGGTGGGAAGTAAATTGCAACAAAAATCGAAATTATATAAAATACATATAAGTCTACATTTAAAATTTGCAAGCTCTAGCTCTAAAGGTGTAGGAGATATAATTAAATAACTAGCTTTCGATAAGGTTTTTGATCGATAATAAAATATCGGGAGTAGTTATCGATATATAAAGAAAAACTTGATATGCGCGTGATATACACGGACCTAGGAAATTTCAAGTCTCTAGCTCTTATATCTTCTGAGATCGACGCGTTCATACATACATACGGACGGACGGACGGACAGGGCCAAATCGACTCAGCTCGTCGCCCTGATCAAGAATATATATACTTTGTGGGGTCTGCCACGCCTCCTTCTGCCTGTTACATACTTTTAACAAAACCATTATACCCTGATTTCCCATTTTCCATGGGTTCAGGGCATAAAACTGTGGGAACGGTTTAGCTGCCGTCAAAGCAGCTTCAAGATCGATTAAAATGTACTCTTGATTGATAGAGATAATAGGTTCCACCATTTCCACAACAAAACATCATCGGACCTTTCTAAACTTACGTGCCGATAGTCGATAACCGATAACAAACCATAAACGCTTGACAGAATGACGAAACTATATTAAAGATAAACGGTGAAAGGAAACTACCTCATATTACGAAAGAAGTCAGATTCTCTTCTGCAAATTGAA